TCAACCCGAGCTCAGGAGGGCTAGTATGGAACAGTGGTTAAAAACTCAATACTCTTTAATCTTATATCACCACACACTAAATTATCTCCCTTTAATCAATGAACTCAGATAATACACCACTGCCCAAAACCTAAACCTCCTTTTATTAACCCGCGCTCTCTAAGTTACACTAAATTTATTAATACACGAAATCTCTCTGTTTTACTTCTCTATTTGTCAAGCTTGTTACAACCTAGACCTAAGGAAGTCACTATAAATTCTCTAATACTCATTTATTTCATTACTCTGTTCTTACTCTTTTATATCCCACAATTTCCATCTTGTTGGAAAATCACATACTTTGATAAAACCTTATAAATCTCTGTACTTGAAATGAGACAAAATACAGTTTTACAATTTATTACAAGAATTATCTCTCAATTAAACAATCAACAAACAAATTCTAAGCTCTGTCTCAGTCTGTCTGTGTCACCTATTAGTCCTGACTTACCTAAAACCAACCTCAATACAACTCACAAAACTCTTAATTCTCAGAACTTCCTTCCAGACCTCCTGGATGAAAGTAAAAACCAATAACTAAAACTTAATCCCTTGAACCTAATTAATTCCTAACAAATTTCAAACACCAGTAATTCCTGCAAATTTCCTAAGTCTTAATTTCAGTTAAAAACAGGAACAAAATTTAGAAATACACTAGCTTCCTTAGCTTACTGTATAAATTACCTAAACAATTTCAAGTAGTTCTAAAATTTAACAACAATTTACCAAAAATTCAAACAACCAGCAAAATTTAACCAAGTCCAATTCTCAGTTAAAATTCACTAAATCCTGACCAAAACTTCCTATAAAATTCCACAAATATTCCAAAAGTTCCTACAAATCCTTAAAATAACCCTGGCTCTTCTTAAACTAAAACTAAAAAGTCATTATTAAATCTAATTTAAAAACGCCCAACCCATACTAACTCCTTACCCTAAAACACGACTTCTCTAAACAAACCAACCTAGCAGAAGAGCAAAAATTCCTTGAATCTCTCTCTTTTATACAATAACATGACGTAAATGTTGGAAACTGTTGGACTCATTGGAAAACGTTGGAGAATCTCTCGTGACATTTCCCGTAAAATGCAAAGTCTATAGAAAAATCTAATAACTACATACAAGACAACTTTTCTGAATGAAAGTAATCTCTAAATACATTCTTCAATTAGAATAAGTAAATTAATCTCCATTTAAATCAACAAATAACACAATTAACTCCAAAAATCCGAGAACTATCGTAACTTTTACGATCGGGCTCGACATACACAATTTACGACCGCCAATTTCGTAAACAAATCTACCAGTCTATAAACTGCCGATAATTAACTGAAAACAAGTTAAACTTCAAGAAAACATGATTCCATCCATAAATCAATGGTTAATCTTCTACAGAAGACCAATTAAAGTCCCTGAAACATGAAGTAAGCTAAAATAACACCACAACTTTACTACTGCTATGATCAGCTGATTTCTACGTAACTCAAAACATGTGCACAAACTATTTCAACTCATGTAGATCACTTAAACTTGTCAATAATCACCTATCAATTACATGCAAAGCATAAATTAATACATATTCCTGCAATATCAAATAATTATAACACTTATACAAATTCATCTCAACTCTCCTACAAATGTCAACAATAATCAGGTTCAATAACTCTGTATAAAACTTATCTGTCAAATCTCTGGACCGTTACACTTGAATCTACAATACCTGAGGATGATTCCACATGAGTTTCATCTTTCCTGGCACAGTGGTTCTTGAGAAGAAGATTTTTTAAAAATGCCATTAATTTTTCGCGAATTCATAATTATCTCCCCTTGGAAAAGGGCGTGGCTCTTCATTTGAACAAACTTGAATCCCCTTTACCCAAGGATACTTTGTAGCAAGTTTGGTTGATATTGGCCCAGTGGTTCTTGAGAAGAAGATGAAAATGTGAAAAGTTTACGACAACAACGACGACAACAACGACGACAACGACAGACGACGGACAAATTTTGATCAGAAAAGCTCACTTGAGCCTTCGGCTCAGGTGAGCTAAAAATCAGAACCTACGCCATTATGAAAAGTTGAAATTTCGCTGCCCAAATTGAACTAGATTTTCGATAATTTAAAAAAAAAAATTTCAACAGACACCTTATATATTGTAAAGGAATAATACAATCGGTATTTGTAAGTACTGTACTAGAAGTATTTTACTGTTAATGAGATGTAAGTTAGACATTTCACTCAGTTCGCTGTATCGAAATTTCTTCTTTTCATATTAATGCATGGCGCCGGATCTGACGTTTCTCTGGTACGTCAAATATCAAAGCCGTGAAAAACGTCTGAATGACGTCGGATATTTTGGACTGTTCCAATCGACTTTTCGTTGAATTGAGGTACCTTTTCTTGATTTTTAGCTCTACTGGTCAGAGACCAGAAGAGCTTATGCGATAGTAATGCGTCCGGCGTCTGTCTGTCTGTCTGTCTGTCTGTCCGTCTGTCTGTCCGTCTGTCTGTAAACAATTTTTCAAAACGCTACTCCTCCTACAATTTTAGTCTGATTTCAATGTAACTTGGCACACAAGTAGACTACACTAAGATACATAGAATAGTGCATGGGTTTTTGATTTCGATGAACGGTGTTGCCATGGTTACTAAAAATAGAATTTTCTGTGAAATTCCTTTAAAACGCTACTCCTTCCACAGTTTTGGTCTGATTTCAATATACTTTGGCACACAAGTAGACTACACTAAGATACATAGAATAGTGCATCCGTTTTTGATTTCGATGAACGGTGTTGCCATGGTTACTAAAAATAGAATTTTCTGTGAAATTCCTTTAAAACGCTACTCCTTCCACAGTTTTGGTCTGATTTCAATATAACTTGGCACACTAGTAGACTACACTAAGATACATAGAATAGTGCATCGGTTTTTGATTTCGATGAACGGTGTTGCCATGGTTACTAAAAATAGAATTTTCTGTGAAATTCCTTAAAAACACTACTTCTTCTACAGTTTTTGTCTGATTTCAATATAACTTGGCACACAAGTAGACTACACTAAGATACATAGAATACTGCATCCGTTTTTGATTTCGATGAACGATGTTGCCATGGTTACTAAAAATAGAATTTTCTGTGAAATTCTTTAAAAACGCTACTCCTTCTACAGTTTTGGTCTGATTTCAGTATAACTTGGCACTAGGGCTGGGACGATACCGAACTTAGCCGATCCGATACATATCACGATACCTTAGGTGCGATACGATACATATCACGATACATTTAAAACCAAATAAAACTAGATATTTTTTTTAGAACATTTAATTTGGAACATTACAGATTATAAAAAATAAACTAATTCAACAGAAACCCGACTTACTGCCATTGGGTTTTTGTTGATTTAACATAATCCGGCGTGTCTGACGCCATTCTGACGCTTGTATTTTGAATTCTGTATCACCAAGACGTTTGTACTTTATTTCTGATTGCTTCAACGTCTTGATGATACAGACTAAAGGACTAAAAATTTCGAATTCTAGAGCCCGGACATTTTTGGAAATTAAAAAAAGTGCTGTCAGGTATCGTGATACTAAATTAGATGAATCGATCCGTATATCGTCAAAGTGAATACTGCGATGCATCGGTGCACCGGTGGATCGTCCCAGCCCTACTTGGCACACAAGTAGACTACCCTAAGATACATAGAATAGTGCATCAGTTTCTGATTTCGATGAATGGTGTTACCATGGTTACTAAAAATAGAATTTTCTGTGAAATTCCTTAAAAAGGCTACTCCTTCTACAGTTCTAGTTTGATTTCAAAATAAGTTGGCACACAAGTAGACTACACAAAGATACATAAAATAATGTAATGGTTTTTAATAAGTACATACCAGTAGAGCTACAGTCTCGACAGAGACTTCTGGTTTAAGAATATTTTTTCAAAGTGCATTAAGATTGTACTTAACATTCTTTTTACCATGGAGATACTTAACGCACACTTAGATTTTAGTATAGACAACATTAATTTTCTATGAACAACTTTCCAACAATTTTATTCGTGCTTTAAACCAGAGGCCATGAAATTAATAATTTTGAAAGAGGCACCTTTGCTGATTTTAAATATACATATGAAATGCTTTAAGTTTTATTACTTACACCAAGAGGCAGAGTAAGGCACCCTTGCTCATCATAAATGTTTGATTATTACCAAGGAGCAGATTTCAAAGCATTAATTCTTTTTCAGTATATAATCATTAGTCCCACCAGTTTCCCCAGTTCGAGGGGCCTTGAAATTCACAATTCTGAAAGAAGAACCCTTGTTTATCATAACTATATATTTAGATTATCAGCATAATACCAAGGAGTGGGGGACTATTGAAATTGACAAGGAGGCCTCGTGTAATTCAAATCTATTAGACTTAATTTTTAAAATCTAAATTTACAATTTTATTTCACAATGAAATGGAAATAAAAGGAATCACTGTCTAGTTAGCAGAGTATGCCAGGGACATCAACGATAGTTGGAAACGTGGGATAATTTATGCATAGCGCCCGTTATGCATAAATTATCTCATGTTTCCAACTATCGCTGATGCCTTGGCATACTCTTCTAACTAGACAGTAATTCCTCAAATAAATATAATAAGCACCATCATATAAATAATAGCTCATTTATGATAAAAGTCTACAGATATTAAATAGACAAGCTGACAAAAGCTTTCAGGCTGCATTTCATTTCCGAAATTTTTTGTAATTATCAACTTTTCATTTCGGACTTTTTTTAGTTTTCATTTCTGACATTTTTTTTGTTTACATTATTAATTACCGGTATGATTATTAAATGCTCTTTGATAAATTATTGCACTATTTTGACATGACATAGACATTGTGTAACATCACAGTCTAGACATTCCAAATGTCTCACACAGTTTGACTAGCATACCTAAATTAAGATAAAAATGAATACAAAGGGTGTTCAGCGCACAGTCACACAATCAACTTATTAAGTTAATAAACATGTACTACACAGAATATTTATAATAAAGGACCTCAGAGAATATTGTTATATACAGTGTCAAAAACTCAAAATGAGAATTATCCCAGCATTATTTATTAATTAGTCCCTGATCTTTCAGTTGTTGTTCAAAAGTCTTCAGTTGGACTTGAAATCCGGCATTAGGTCTGATCTTTGATCTTTTTTCTTTCACATATTGATATGCTTTATCCAAACACCAGCATTCTGTCTTCATGAGGTAGGCTATGACTATTGTTGCAGATCTGGAAATTCCAGCATTGCAATGCACCAATACACAACCTCCACTGTTTTTCCCAGAGTTAATGAATTGAAAAGCTGATTCAAAATGTTCGGCTATATTTGTCTCCGGAATATCTAATAAGTCTATATTCTTGTATGTAAAATGTTCTGGAAATGTATTGTTGACAAAAGTGGCAACATTCAAAATATGTGTCACATTATATTTCTGAAGCAAATTTAACTCTACTGCTACATCTTGAGAACCTGAAATAAACAAAAGTAAATGTTCTGTACATTTCATCCTTCTATTAGGCTTTTAAACAAATTAAGGGATCTGTTGTATTTTTTCAAAAAAAAAAAAACAAAAAAACACCCTAAATGCTTATTGGGGGAAAGTTGTAGCTGTGTAGGGAGAGGGGAACTATTTATGAACATAGCTTTCAAATACAAAGACCATGAAGACATGTTGATAATAATCTTTTTTGAAATACCTAAAATAAGATCTGGTGAAATTTCTCCGATCTGCAGATCTGCACATGGATCAACAACAAAGCCAGCAACTTTTCCATTCTTTTCAACTGTCTTTCTTTCCGTCAAACCTTGTTCATTCTTGTATTCCACGAACTGATCGCCAGTTAAGGTTGTTACTTTTGTTACAGTCTTTTTCAACGATGACTTGTCAAACGCGTTTAAACTATTCAGCATCATTCATTTTAAGTATAAACTTCTAAGAATGAAAAATTTAAAGACTTGTTAAGTCACCGAGTGTTTGTTTTCATTGTCCAGGTCACCCTTGATGTCGCAGTACACAAACAAATAGAGCTGAGTGAGTAATCAACAAATAATTGGACTTGACAGGGTGTCCGAGGGTAACCGAAAGCTACTTCTACTTTCTCTTTAGCTATATACCTAATATTGTTTTCATAAGAAAAGAGTTCCAATCAGATCAAATTGGTAAATATTTTCTCCATTTCTTATTTATATGTGATTTTTTGACATTGTCATTATATATGTTCTATTAAATTTTGAGGTTACCTTTACTACTTCATTTAATGGTCCAATATATTTCCCAAATATTGAAATCCTTTTCGTTTAGTCAGCGTTTCCAATGTAAATAAAACAAGAAATTACGATCCCGATGTAGTAATTTGATTTTTTTTTTGGTTTAAGTTTTCTAACGCAATGTATTACGATGGATATGACGAGGACGCCCTGGATGAAATTCTTCCGAGCCTTTTTATCAGTAAGAGACTGTTTACATCCACTTTGTTCTGTAGTGAAATTATTGATTGTGCAACGGATTAGTACGGAGCTGACTGTATAATAATGAATGATTTTGGTCAAAACCCATATCATAATCTTCTTTCTCTTTTTAAGGTGGATTTGTCCCTGCCAAAGATTTAGAACGATTAGAAAATCTAGGAATAACTCATATTGTCAACTTATCTTCCTATGAAAATAATTTTCATGGAAAATTCGAGTACCTCAGAATCCCTGTGGAAGATTTTCCTATGGCGGAAATTCATCCATATTTCGACGAATCTCTCAAGTTTATCGAAGGAGCCTTTTCAAAGAATGGACGTGTTCTTGTGAATTGTAATGCAGGACAGTCTAGAGCAGGAACAATAATAATTCTTTACATAATGAAAACGAAAGGAATGACATTTGATGATGCTCAAAAATTCGCACAGAGTAAGAGAAAGTCAAATGAAATATGTCCAAATTCTGGATTTCGAAGACAGCTTATTGAATACTTTAAAAAATGAATTTGATCAGGGACGTTTGATAATGACAATTTCCGTACATTAATGCATTATAAGGATTAAAAATTCATATATACATAAATGTATACTAGGAACGAAGTTAGAGGGGGTTGTGGTGAAGACCCCTCCCTGGAATTTTCTGAGCTATTAAATTTAGTTGGTAAAGGTAATGGAAAACTGAACTGGGGTTATTCTTAGTTCGTCCAACATTTTGTACTTATGCGATTTTTAATTATTTCCTTTGTGTATCTTTTGATCAATTTTTTAATTATGTTTCATATACGAAGCAGAAAATCAGAATATACACGCCATACACTTTGAAAATAAACCAAGAAAAGACAACCCTACACTATTTCATTAAATTTTGCAAACTCAAAGAACTTTTTGTACTGTTTTTGCTGATTTTCTCAGCCCTTCTCGAAATTAGAATGTTTAAAAATGAAAATTAAATTCTTGAGCCGACTGTTTTGTTGGCAAAATATTGTTGGTCTTATGATCCCATTGAGAACAGTTATAAACTTTATAGATGGAACAATTTTCGACTTAAAATTGTCAGAACTTTTTGAAACCGTAAACACCATTTTAGACATTCTGAAGACAGAAGCCGGTCACCATCATTATATTGATTCTAAATCAATTCTAGTTGATGCTTCAAGAAAATTTTTAAAATAAATCACCATTTCAAGAGTATTGCGAAAGAAATGCAATTTCTTGACTAAGATTGGATGTCCTAACAAATTATCGTCGGATCTGTATTGGGTATGGGGTTCAAATCACTGGAATTTTCAGCATTATTAAACTTATAAACGAAAAACTAAACCTGGTCCCTTCTTCCAGGAACACGGACCCTTAGCTGTTAAGACGATTAAAGTAAAAATATATTGAGAAAATTAACGTAGAAAGGTGTCTTCTTCTTTCCCCAAACGGAATTGGATTTTCAGAGAAGTTTTCTTTTTCTAAAAATTCTGAGAGTGACACATTTGTCAAAATATATCCCTTATCTCTCTCTCTCTTTCTCTTTCGGCGAAAAAAACAAATCATGGATCCACCTGAGAATTGTTCTGTGATCCACACTTACCAAATATAAATGCCAAATACAAATTCAGTTCCAACAACCAACAGAAGGACAGACAAAGACACCTATAGTCCCGTCTAGTGTCATTGATAAAGGAACAAAACCTGATATATTTATGTACTCGAGCTTTATCAGACCTTAAAATATGAACTGGATTCGACTTGAAGTTAAACAATTTTTTAAAGGAAAAAGAATGCAAATTCCAAATCGTCTGAACCGCATGCCTTTGAATTAAAAAAAAAATGTGTGTGTGTAAAAAAAAAAAAGTATTTTTTTTTTCTAAGCGATCTAAAGGCCTGTGGTCTGAACGATTAAACACTAAATGTCTCATATTGTATTAAGTAAACAAACGTGTTTGTGAAACATTGATACCCCGTATGACAAGGATCGAAGTTTCTTAAATGCAAGTCAACCTGTAAGGATCTACATATTAAATGCTGTAAAAATTTGAGTTTTTTAAAACTTGAAAAATCATAACATTCTACATCTGTAGTTCAACAATACACACCCAATGAACAATAATGTACCATTTATTATTGGTTTTAATTGCTATTTAGAAATCAAGTAATAAAAATATTTAAAATTCGGTTAACACCTCTGAAAGGGAAGTAGTCATATAATTTAATACAAATGGGATTGTTTTATATACTACATGTATTAGTGTTTGGTTCCATTTTAAGTTAAGGCGAGGGGGCTGTAAACAGATTTTATTCGAGTCTTTTCAAGGAATATACCGTTTTTGGCAATGTCACTTATACTAGTTTATATAATATATACGAGAGAAAGTAATTTTAAAAAATTACAATTTACGAGCAATATATTTTATCCCATCACTCATAAAAAACGAAAAATTCTTGGTTTAAAACTTATAATTTGTCTATAAATACAAGTATAATAAAGATGTGAAAATAAGATTTTTATACATTATAATATAATGTATTATATAATATATTATAATTAAATACAGTAATAAGAAAATTCAACAAATCTATTGCATGCAGAACCTAAGTCAATCTTCCAAAAAATCACTGATGTATTCGTGTAAAGCTGTCTCCAGCTCCTCACTGAAGTCATACTCCTCGTCTTCATAAGTATCATCATCACTCATCTCCGCATCCTCATTCTTCGCCCCATCCTCATCCTCATCATGCACAACATCATCTTCATCACTCATCTCCGCATCATCATCATAAACAACATTGTCTTCATCACTCATCTCCACATCTTCATCCCCTGCTCCGCCATCCTCATCATGCACGACATCGTCTTCATCAATCCTCTGGTTATCATTGCAGTCTTTGTCGACTTCACATTCAGTGCTTGATTCAGAGAGGGCAGTCTCATTGGTAGAGGGTTCATACTGAGTATAAACACATCGAAATATCTGAAACAGAAACACGATAGTATTTCAATTTATTGTTTGTATTTAAATATATTTATTATCAAAATAAGATTAACATCCAGGAATGATGTCAAGTCTTTGCATGTTTAATGCATGGATATTACGTGCATAATTCATGCAGTTAAAATATGCTTACCTTGATTTCTGTCGGTTTTTCTGTAATCCCAAGGAACGAGACGACCATCCAAATAAACTCCATAACAAACAAAATTAATACCACCTATGAAGAAAATATTGGTCGTATTTAAATAAAACTTACAATTGTACACGTTTTTTCATGAAGTTGAATAATAGTAATCACTCACCACGGCTATATTTTTGGAATCGGGACATATTAGTTCCCGGTCTCTGATTCTCAAAGCGTATGTGATTTCCTCCCACAGGGTAGGTTCCTTTTCTTTGCTAAAAATTCAGTTAATTTAGACTTAAATCAAATTCATATAGAAACATTTCCGTGTAAAAATTCGAAGGAAGGAACGAAGACTTACCAGTAAAGGAAGGCACAGATTGGGTAGAGAAGCAACAAAGATGTTATCAACTTGGATATAAGAAAAACTTTAGTTATTCCATATTTCATCGCCATCGTGAAGGTTACTATGACGTCATAATAAAGGTAAAGCTAGCATTTTGAAATTATTAGTATTGTGACGTCATAGTACGCTTTCGTATTTTGCACCCCTCTTCCCAAGATCTTTGGTTTCATTTAGGCCTACATATTATGGAAAGCCAAGGAAATATTGAGAATCAAGTTGCTGTCTTTTGAAAAAGGACTGCAATACGTGGACCATCGGCTAGAAATGTAATGATAAATAATTGAATTTTTACTTTTAATTGAGTTTTTACTTTTAAAAATAATAGTTCTTTAATCTTGAAACATGCATTTTTATCTTATAACGTAAAACATATATTCTATTAATTACTAAAATTGTAGTATTATAAGAAATGATAGAAACACATCCTCGATATTAATGCATGTACCTATTGTACGTATAGGTAGCATTGACCATAGATCCACATGCAAAACGTTTTGATCAAACTCAGATTTTAAAATAGATTTGAATTGGTGAAAATAACGAATCACAACTCGAACACTATTGTTCTAACAGGGAAAATCAACTGGCTGTTGTGGCATGTGTGGTGCGCATGAAGTTACCAAAATGAAAGAATTAAAAGATTAAAATAATAATTACACGTTATAGTATATAGGAGGTCACCTGAGACCGAAAGGATTTTAATATACCTCTAATGTTATAACTCTATATAACAATAATATCATAAAACTGTTTATTTCCAGGATAACTGATGACTATACCAAGAAAAATCAGAGCTAGTCCCTGGGACTACTCTCTCATGAATATTTATTAGTAATTTTAACCAATCAGAAATAGTTTCCTCCCTCGGGGAACCATAAATTTGCTATTTCCCTTGTACCCATTCCTTAACTGTATACAAGTGTATTTGCCGAGACTATCTCTGGTGGTAGATTGTCCACTCTTTGATCGTAAGAGGGAAATATGAGAATTTTCGTTAATCACTTTTACATGTGCAGGATGATATTTGGTAGGCTTTATGATGGGTATGTTTTGATCGACGTAATGACATAATGAGTCGATTACGCTTGGTACCGGCAACTTTGTCATAAACAATTTTATAAAATAGGATGAGTCTGGAGATTCGCCTATGTTCTTCAAGTGTCTGTCATTGTAGATGTTGAATCATGCTGTCCACATTCGATCTGTTACCATGCCTGTTCCTTAAGATTCGCACAGCACGTCTTTGGACCATTTCCAGGTTATGGATGTCTTTTTGGGTGTTAGGGTCCCAGACAGGTGCTGCATACTCCAACTGAGTCTGACTAGTGACTTGTATGCACTCTCCTTGATGGATGTTGAGCTGATTTTTAAGTTTCGGCTGAGAAATCTCAAGGTCTTATTACCTTTGCAAATTATGTTGCTGATGTGGTCACTCCATTTCAAGTCTGGTGTTATGAGACAGCCAAGGTACGTAGCTCCCTTTACATGTTCCAGAATATGGCCATGTAGTGAATGTTGGTGATGTATTGGGTTGGGTTTCTTGCCGACCGATAATACATTATCAGGACGGAATTCCATTTTCCACCTTCTCTCTCAAATGCCCAGTTTATCTAGGTCTGCCTGGATGTCTGGATATCCAGTTCTGATGTAACAGTAAGATACACAATAGTGCCATCATCAAAAAGTCTTACTGTAGCATTGATTGATTGATTGATTGTATACTGTTTAACGTCCCTCTCCAGAATATTTCACCGATATGGAGACGTCACCATTGCCGGTGAAGGGCTGCAAATTTAGGCCTATGCTCGGCACTTACGGCCTTTGAGCAGGGAGGGATCTTTATCGTGCCACACCTGCTGTGACACGGGGCCTCGGTTTATACGGTCTCATCCGAAGGACCGCCCCATTTAGTCGCCTTTTACGACAAGCAAGGGGGTACTGAGGACCTATTCTAACCCGGATCCCCACGGGGCACTGTAGCATTGAGACCTTCTGGCATGTCATGTAAAGTAGGAATAAGTATGGTCCAAAGACTGACCCTTGGGGCATCCCAGAGTCAACACTAACATAGCTGGCCATTAAAAAAAGGTATTTCTCCATCAACAACTACAGCTTGTGTTCTGTTGGAAAGGAAGCTAGCAATCCAGTTGTTCACGTTCCCCTGGATCCAATAATGTTGGAGCTTATAGATGAGGAGGTTATTGCTAACTTTGCCAAAAGCCTTGGAAAAATCCATGATCAATACATCTGTCTGCTTTTCGGCTTTGTGGGTGGTAATGTCATCTATAAATCAATGAGTTGGGATTCACAGGATCTTTTTCTATGGAAAAAGTGGGTATAGCATGTTGGGAAGATCAGCATGTTGCATAGTATGGCTGGTGACAATGTGTTCCATAAGTTTACAGCAGATACATGTAAGGGAGATGGGTCGATAATTCTCAGCCTTGTAGACTATCTATCCCCTTTTCTGAACATCGGACTTACATGCGCTTTATACGACACTCCGATGATCCCTCTCCACTTTGCAAAGATTTCCTAAAGATGATGGTGAGGATAGGGGTCACGCTGTCAGCCAGCTCCTTCAGTACTCTTGGTTCTCATCTGTCAGTCCAACTTCCAAATAATTTTGCCAATACGTGTATATATTTGACTTCTATCAATGAATTTTCCTATCAACATAAACTACATCTAACATTAGAAATAATTTAAGGTTTCACCCTCCTCTTGCGAAACCTCACTTCCCGCTGTGGTGCTTCTTAGTTTGAGTTCAACATCTTGCACTTATGCGATTTTTATTTTTAATCATTTCTTTTGTGAATCTTTTGCACAATTTCTTTTTTATATTTCATACTTAGCACAGTTTAAGAAAATTATAATATACATGTTATACTCATTGAAAATATTTCACGAAAAGACAGCTCTATACTAATTCATTAAATTTTGTAAATTCAAGGAACTTTTTGTCTTGTTTTTACTGATTCTCTCAGCCCTTTTCGCAATTAGAGCATTATATGAAATATTGCAGTTATGAAAACATGACACTTTACTAGAATTATACTACAGGTTGATTCTAAATTTAACAGGTATTTATTATGGAATCCGGATAGGGCCACGCAGTACACTATCGCATCATCGCACCATCGAGGTTTAGGTCGATAGTGCGATGAAGAGATAATGCGATGACGATGAGACGATGGTGCGATAGCGATGAAGTGATGGTGCGATAGCGCGATGACGATGATGCTATGGCGCGACAATGCGATGACGATGGTGCGATGACGCGATGGTACGATGACGCGATGGTGCGATAGTGATGACACCATGATGCGATGACGATGGTGCGAGAGTACGATGACGATGAAGCGATATTCACTATCGCTCAATCGTGCTATCGCACCATCGCCATCGCATTATCGCGCCATAGCATCATCGTCATCGCGCTATCGCATCATCGCTTCATCGTTATCGCAACACCGTTTCATCGTTATCGCATTATCGCGCCATCGACCTTTAAGTTGATGCTCGATGGTGCGATAGTGAAGTGCGTGGCCCTATCCGGATTCCATAATTTATAATAGGACCAAGCGCTTTTGAATTCTTGAGCCGAGGATTTTGTCGGAATAAAAATTTTGGCCTCATGATCCCATTGAGAACAGTGATATAGTTTAGCAATTGTCAGAATTTATTGAAACCCGTAAATATTATTTTAGAAATTCTGAAGACCCAAGCTGGTCACCATAATTTATATAGATTCTAAATAATATTGGCTGACGCTTCAAGAAAAAAAATATCCAGTTCAAGAGTATATTGCAAAGCAGCACTATTTCTTAAATAAGAATATATACATTTGTGGTATCTCTCTATTATATAAACATACAGAGAACAAATATCTTCAATTCTGTATGAAGTTTGTCTGAGGTCAGAGGTCAATACGTGACCTAATCACACGGCGCAATAATATCTACCGGTGCATAAATATATAATGACTTGCTCTACTTGCATTTCATCATCATGTATAAAAAAATGAACAAAATATGCAAGTAAAATAATTATTATTTTATTTACAACGTTAACAAGTATTTTAAACAGTTTATGGCTATCGATTTAACCTGTATATACATGGAGAATATACCGATAGAAACTAGCTTTTGTTTACAAGTTTTATGTCACTTTGTACAGTCTCGAACGTTTATCCTTATTTTTTGGTAGACTTCTGATTAAATCTTCATGATAAACTGTATTTTTGTCATCAAATTCTACCCACGATAAATGTGTAAATCTGTTGGAAAATATCAAAGCATTGCAATCACGCCACGAACAGCTGACAAACATCTCGGCGCTGTCGTAGTTCAATGTAAGTTTTCGCTAGTGTCCCCGTGTTTTGTTTACATCATGAATATGCCTTTAGTTATTGATATCGTTGGTTAAATGTTTTTGATCTTAAATAGCCTACTTGATTGCAAATTAACTGGCACTGTCAAGTGTTTCCATCCATCGGATCATGCATCCTTTTTCTGGCGACCGAAATTCCTCCAACTTTTTATCATCGGTCTTCGGACGTGTTTCTGGTGTCTTTTCAGCATCAATTATCAATTTTCACGAAAAGAAATATTCCCAGACAACAGTTTGTCACTTTTACTGATCACAGGTAGCCCTTAACAAGATATTCCCTTAGAAATAAAATCCTTAGCCTGCTGAATTCGAAGCGTAACCGCCATTCAAGCCGATTTACACCTTGCGTCATTTTTCAAAATCTATGACGGACGGTTAGTGCAATAATTTATATTCGAAAATATTCAAGCGTCTGTCTCAAATGTATATATAAGTAATAAATAACAAGTTTATAAACTTCAATGGGAATTGAAGTGGGTCGGTACGTGATCAAATCTTCTGAGAAGGCCTTCGGCCGTCACAGGATTTGATCACGTGACCGACCCACTTCAATTCCCATTGAAGTTTATAAACTTGTTATTTATTTCTTAATTGGATGTCCTGACAAATCACGGGGGGATCTGTTTAGGGTATGGGGTTCAAACCACTGGAATTTTCAGCGTTATTAAACTTGCAAATTAAATCAATGAAAACTGAACCTGATATTTCTTCCGAAAATACGGCCCCTTGTTAAAACGTTTAAGAAAGATATATCTTGAGAAACTTGACGTAGAAAGGTGTCTTCCCCTTTCCCCAAACGGAATTGGATTTTCAGTGATTTTTTTTTCTCAAAAATTCTGAGACTGATACATTTGTTAAAATATATCCCCATCTCAAAAAAAAATAATAATAATCCTGGATCCACTTGACATTGTTCTGTAATTCACACTTACCAAATACAAATGCCAAAAACAAACTCAGTATCAATAATCGACAAAGTCCCGTCTAGTGTCATTGATAAAGGAATAAAATTTTGATATATTTATGAATTCGAGCTATATCAGACCTTAAAAACGAACTGGATTCGACTTGAAGTTAAATAATTTTTAAAAGGAAAAAGAAAGCAAATTCCAAATCGTCTGAACGATTAAACACTAAATGTATCACACTATTGCACGAAAAAAAAATGTGTTTGAGAAACAATGTTGTCTCATCATTACACTCTATCATAACATTCTATATCTATAGATCAACATTACACCCCTGATGAACGATTTTATACCATTTATTATTTGTTTTAATTTCAATTAACAAATAACTAATCAAAATACTTAAAATTCGGTTAACACCTCTGGAAGGGAAGCAGTCATAGAATTTAATACAAATGGATTGTTTTATATACTATTATAAATACATGTACTTGATTCCATTTTAAGTAAGCCGAGGTGGCTGGAAGCAGATTTTGTTAGAGTCTTCAAGGAATGTTCATTTTTTGGGAATGTCACTTATACTAGTTTATGTAATATATGCGAGAGAAAGTAATTTTAAAAAGAAATAACAATTTACGAGCAAGTTATTTTGTCCCATCATTCATAAAAAAACAAAAAATTTTCTTAGTTTAAAACTTCTAATTTATTTATCAATACAAGTATAATAAAGATGTAAAACTAAGATTTTTATACATTATATAATTGAATACAGTAATAAGAAAATTTAACAAATCTAATGCATGCAGAACTTTTAAAAGTCAATCTTCCAAAAAATCACTGATGTATTCGTGTAAAGCTGTCTCCAGTTCCTCACTGAAGTCATAATCCTCCTCTTCCTCATCATCAACGCCATCATCACTCATCTCGCTATCCAACCCAGCATCCTCCCCATTATCATCATCATGCACAACATCATCTTCATCACTCATCTCCCCATCATCATCATACACAACATCGTCTTCATCACTCATCTCCACATCTTCATCCACCGCCCCACCATCGCCATTAATATCGTCTTCGTCAATCCTCTGGTTATCATTGCAGTCTTTGTCGACTTCACATTCAGTGCTTGATTTAGAGAGGACAGTCTCATTGGTAGAGGGTTCATACTGAGTAGAAACACATCGAAATATCTGAAACAGACACGCGACAGTTTATTAATTTATTTACTGTCTGTATTTCAATATATCTATTATCAAAATATGACTAACATCGAGGAATGATGCCAAGTCTTGCTATGTTTATGCATGCATATTACGTGAATACTAGTATTTTATGCAGTTAAGATGTGCTTACCTTGATTTCTGCCGGTTTTTCTGTAATCTCCAGGAAAGAGAGGACCATCCAAATAAACTCCATAACAAACAAAATCAATACCACCTATAAGTAAAAATAATGGTCGTATTTAAATAAGTCTTAGAATTATACATGTTTTTACAAGAAGTTGAATAATTGCTATAGTAATCACTCACCACGGCTATATTTTTGGAATCGGGACATATGAATTCCCGCTCTCTGATTCTCAAAGCGTATGTGATTTCCTCCCACAGGGTAGGTTCCTTTTCTTTGCTAAAAATTCAGTTATTTTAGAATTAAATCAGAATCATATAGGAACATTTCCTTGTACAAATTAGAAGGATGGAACAAAGTCTTACCAGTAAAGGAAGGCACAGATTGGGTAGAGAAGCAACAAAGATGTTATTAACTTGGATATAAGGAAAGCTTTAGTTATTCCATATTTCATCGCCATCGTGAAGGATACTGTGACGTCATAATAAAAGTAAAGCTAGCATTTTGATTTGTTTATTTTGACGTCATAGTAGACAAATCAAATGTTCAATATGTAGGCCTAGGTATGTTTCGAACTTTCGTATTTTGCAACCCCGCCCCTCCCTCTAAGATCCTTACTTTCCATTTACATAGAGTGGAAAAGAAAATAATGAGTCTAAGTTGCTGTATTTCAAAAAAGTACTGCAATACGTAGACCATGGGCTGGAACATCGCCGCAAATCACTACAAAATGTACAATCCTCACCCATGCGGACTTCGAACCGTGGCTTGAGACGATGAGGCTAAAGGAATGTAATAAAAATTATAAATAATCGAAACACCTATTCAATTTGCAGGCACGTAGTATCAGGGGGGGGGGGGCGGGGGGGCCTTCAACCTTTACTATAGAAAATGTATACTGAAAGGAAGGTTGGCCCCCCACATTTCAGCACAGTGCAGTGTTATAAAGAAAATTTACCCCAAAAAGTCTGAATTCAAAGATAGTTGGTCTTGAAAAAAGTTAGCCACTACCCCCCCCCCCCCCACGAAATAGGATTTTCGACTTTGGGCAACTTTTAATATTTGTGTTTTTTCTTTTTGTTTTTGTTTTTTTTTTTTTTTATTGCTTGTCAACTTTTTCAGGGAAGTAAAAAAAAAATTTCCCAGGTTGGCCCCCCCACTTTCAAAAACGATGCTACGTGCCTGATTTGAATTGGTGATATCACCTATTCGAAAAAGTGATATCACTTATTCGAATAGATGATATCATTAATTCGAATAGGTGATATCACTTATTCGAATAAGTGATTTCACCTATTCAATTTGAATAGGTGATATCACCTATTCGAATAGATGATATCACCTTTTCGAATAGGTGATATCACCATATCATTTTGAATAGGTGATATCACCTATATTTGTACTAAATATGAATATCATGTAAACATGTACTATAAAAAAATTAATTGATGGTAAAAATATAATATAATCTGATTTATATTTAGTTTACTAGAAATACATAAAGTGTCCATACAAAACTTATATTTAATTCTTATATCAATAGTTTTTTTGTATTTTTCTTCCCATGTATAAAGATTGACAGTTGTAGCATTTTATGGTGAGAACCTCATAAGTTGTAAGAACTTGTTTTCAAACCATTTGTATAGTATTTATTCAATAAAATATGTTCAACCCAATTCTTAATGCACAAAAAAAAATGTTTAAATGATAAAAGAGAGTATCTATCAGAGATTATCTTGCTTTAACATATTTTTCAAACAAAACAATTTATATAAGCATATTTATTTCTAAAAGTTTATTTAAAAATAAACACTTTTACATATTAATTTATCAGTCATTTTATTCATCTTTAATTTATCAGTCATTTTTCATCTTTTTCCATAAATGTGATATTTTATTTTAATAAAGTATTTAATAATTAAAATTATTTGCATTTGATTTTAAACACATGATTACAGTACAAAGATTCAAGACTTCAAAGACATTTATAGTACCGCACTTTTCATTCACATGTATTTTTAAAATATCTGTGATACAAAGTATATATCTCTGATACAAAGTATATTGAAATTCGCGCTTAAAATTTTTATTAAATTAAAAAAAAAATGCACAATAGAGAAATTAAAAAAAAATTCAAATCGTATACCATTTACAAATTAAAAAAAAAACTTAAGAAAGATTTTTTTTTTAACTTCTTCAATAGTAATTAATTTTAATACAATAATTTAGAAAAAATGCCATTAATTTATTCAAAATAAAAAAAAAATCAGCATATTTATAATTTAAAATATTAATTTCATGCAGTTACCATTCATTGCAATATCAGCATTTCATAAGTAGATTTTAACCTATTTCTTGTGGTTAATCTTAAACAGACTATAGGTCACCTGTAATTAATTTCTTTTGTTCTCTCCCTCCCCCTACCCGTACACCATTCCCACTTAGCCAAAACCAGTCACCTGTAACATTTTCAGAATTTTGGCTAAGTGGGAAGACACCGATACGGTTATGTTATTTTGCAATCACAAGATGATATTTGAGAGGGTTAAATGAAATGAAAGACAACAAATACGTAGTAAATACAGCACACCGGTATATACTGACATTAAACTTGTTTACATGATTGTATGCGAAAAAAAATGAAAATCTAGAATAAAGGATTTAGTGATCTCTTGGACAGAGAATCATGACCATCATATGGTCGCCCCGAAAACTGAGAATCTGTAATCCTTATCTCTGTTTCTCTTGAGTAGTCTGTATAATAAATATTCTCTTATACATGTATTATTAGTTACATAGTCTTTTAGTGACAGGGTATGGGATGATACCTGGTTAGTAAATTTCATACCTGACTCGGCGAATGATACCTGGTTAGTAAATTTCATACCTGGCGAGGCGAAGCCGAGTCAGGTATGAAATTTACTAACCAGGTATCATCCCATACCCTGTCACTAAAAGACTATGTAACGAATTTACCCCACCGATGAAACATTTACGTTTTATCTGTAGTTTATAAATGGTTTTCTCTGCTAAATGCTTCATCGCGCTTATACTGTGCCTATTATGACGTCACGTTTGTGTCTGTGACGTAATACATCGACCGGGTATAGATTTCTACTGGCCGGGTATAGATTTGCAACTGACCGGGTATAAGTAATCCACCTCCTTCACGTGACAGACTTTAACCAATCGTAAGCCAGGATTTCACGAAAAAATCAACAGAGGTGGGGTAAAAGTAATCCACCGCCTTCACGTGACAGACTTCAACCAATCGTAAGCCAGAATTTCACGGAAAAATCAACAGAGGTGGGGTAAAATGTACTAACTTCAACTATTTTTAGGGCTGGTTGTGGTCCAACAGAAGTACGAAGGCAGTAATATTGTGACATGCAAAAAGGTAGCTGCAGAACTGTAGCAGTATGGTTTGTGGCAACGCACTTTGAAAAAATTATGCACTTTGAAAAATTTTTTCAAAGTGCGGTAAACTTGGGACAAAATCAACGCACTTTGAAATAATTTTTCAAAGCGCGTTAAATTTGGGACACACTCAACGCACTTTGAAAAAAATTTTCACAGCGCGTTAAGAGTGTACATAAACATTTTTTTTTACCACGGGGACTTATTACGCACTTAGAAAAAAAATACGTATAATACAAAAAATTCTAGACTTTGAATTTAGTAATTGAGAGACTCATTTCGTAATAATTATACGAGGGTTGTTCGAAAAGTTCGTGGACGATGTCCATCTTCGTTATATTACTCACTGGAAATTTAAAACAAGCACATTATAATATATGTAAAAGTATTTGTTTTGTTGATGAGTGAACTTTCATTCCATTCGATTAAACACAAACAAATTTACTTCATTTTAAAATCAACATGTTTTGTACCCGTGGAGCACACAAAACGGCAATGTAACGTCAACACATAGCGTCGAGAATTTATAATAGATACTATACCTATACATTTCACACAGAATATTCCAATGCCCATTCATTAACGACGTTCGATCCTGATATTTAAAGTCTTAAACTTTTTTTGCCAAGTATATTTTTAGTTTCTACATACATAGCTTAATTAAAATTCAAATCAAAAAATGGGGGTCAATATGCGTCTTTTAGCGCTACAGTACATTTAATATGACCTTTCTGCACTGAAATTTGTCTCTTAATTAAAAATTACATCTTCGACGTTTTTCCTCCAATATTTTTATCCAATTAAAGCATGAAACAAAATGAACTCTAAGTCTGTTTAAAAAAAGACACTTAAAAATTGTGACTAAGAAAAAGTTTAAAATTGCTTCGCATAATCAATTATTTGACCTTTCTGCACTAATAAAATGTTATTTTTCCCTCATTGAAAATATAATAAGCAAGAAAATTATTTTAAAGTCTTAAACTTTTTCTGATTTTAAGCAAATAGGTCAAAGTAAACTTGAATATTTAGAAAAGAACATCAAAAGTAGGGATATATGATGTACATTTTCAGATATTACTAAAAAAGTGTGAATTTTACGTTAAATTTGGCTCAATTTTTTCCCGGATTTTCAGAATATATTTACTGTATTTGTCACACTTTGTTGATAAAATTCATGAAAAATAATTTAATAGATATTTCAGAACTAGCATAACATATTTCACTGCAGAAAACAGCTGTGTGTGCAACCAGCATGGAAAAATAGGCATCCAAAATTAACAGTACTATTATAGTTCAAATGAAAAAAAACTGACCATTTTCGTCTAAAAAACCTTCCGCCACAAAATATAGTCCCTAGCTTAATTCTATTTGAATGGAATTTAATCGCGGTTTTTTCATTGAATATACTTTAATTTGCATTGTAGAATTCAATTTTATTGTTAGAACCTAAAAATGATGCTTAATTTTATGAATAAAGGACCTGCGCGAAACACGCTCAAAATATCAGGATCGAACGTCCTTAAATTAATTTTCAAATACCTGACTTTTATTTTTTAAGAATATATTTCATTGTATAATTTCCTTTGTTAAGGTTTTAATTTCTTTTAGTACTTAACTCTGCTTTCACAGGATAAAAAACTCTGAAGCCCATTTGTCTTTCATTTACGTTTCAAATCTTTAGGTTTTGTTCAGATGTTTACAGTAAAACCGTTTCTTTACAGGTCATCCTCATCCGATACAGAGTCTCTGTAACTCAAATATTGCCTGTACTGTTTGTACACACATGCACAACTCGCTTGTGACATATTTTCTTGATTCCTTCAACATTTTTAGAGTTTAGTCAGGATTTTTACTTAGAAAAACACAAAATTGCTTCGGTATCTGCCTGCTCTGTGACGTTCTAAAACGTCATTGTTTTTGTCGTTTTCAATAAGGACTACTTATCTTCTCAAGTTGATTTCTTTTCAGCAAAGCAAAATATAAAACCATAATTTGGTACACGTATCGATGTAACAATTCTTAATTTGAATTTCTAGGTAGTTTTCGTTTTTCCTCCATTTTACAGAGAATATGTCTATAGACATTATTTATTGTATTGTCTGTAACTGACTAAATTTTGACCTGCTCCGCGATGCGATTTTTGCATTTTTAAAATCTGGATAAGTTTTTAATCAATCGTAATATTTTGTCAAAATTAATACATATCATTTGGATTTATTGTTAAAATATTTCTACCAAATTTGGATAACATATGACGTCAAATAAAAAAGATATGACAGTTGTCCACGAACTTTTCGAACAACCCTTGTATCTTTCAAAAAGCTTTTTAATTTACATGTACTCATTTAACCTCATTGGGAACAAGGAGAAGACGAGTAGAAGGGCTCACAGCTCAACTCTTTTTTCTTATACATTGTACTTAGCCGTATGTAGCAAATTGAAAGTGGACGCCCCCCTCAAAGGTAAGCCCCAATTTTCAATGCCTATACTAGTATATCTTTGCAAAACATTTGTGTGCCTAAGACCCCGTCCCGGTACCGATGTCTATGCTTCACCCAAATATATATGTATTTGTATAACTGGTATGACGTTGAAAACTTTCAATAAATTTTAGTTTACATATATAAAATGCATGCAAACTGGAAAAATTAAATAAAGTAAAACATTTAAGAGAGATAGAATTTTCAAAGTATGGAAAATCAAAATCGCTCACTTTAACATCCTGAAATAACCTCATCATCGAAGAGTTATCAAACAGATGCAATTATTTCTCTTACCTAAGATTTGCAAGAACACTGACTAGGCCACACAATTTTTTCAAAGTGCGTTAATATGGTCGATATTAACGCACTTTGAAAAGAAATTTTATTTCTTCAAAGTGCGTTAATTTGGTCCCAAATTTAACGCACTTTGCAATTTTTTTTCAAAGTGCGTCGTAACAATTGTTTCATATATTTAGTCTTTGGCCATATGATCAAAAATTAAAATAAAAACCATAACGCTACAGTGCTGTAGCTAGTAAAGAGAACAAACAGATTAGTCAAGGTATGAAACAACGTCAGATTCAGTTTAACTAAAAGGCTCATGAGAGCTCTTTGCTCTGATGAACGAAGATTGAATTCTCCATGAAGAATAATGACAAAAGATGTGACATTTTTATTTGATTAACAAATCAATGTTATACAAAGATTTGCATACTTATAAAATTCCCCTTCTTATCGTTTGAGGTATTACATTTCTTTTTTAAGTTACATTTATTTTTAATGAAAATAATGAACATTTCTAGGGATATGACGATAAAGAAATCCTTAACATTGAATTTTAAAACCTTTACTAAAACAGTTTTTCTTTTATTGATGCATCTGCTTATTCCTTAAGCAATTAATTCGAAATCCAGATAAGACTGTTTAGGATGAGAAACTTTGCTGTGCGCTCCTCATAGCATCTGTTACAATAGCATTGATCACATGCTCTTCTTCAAAATCCCGCGCCCTTGTTTCTGGCTGAAAAATATACACAGGACATCTTCTAAATCATTTCCAAATATATAAACAGTATATTGAAATATAAAGTTTGCTTCCTTAAAAGTAAAAAAAAAAAAGTAGGAGGAAAAAAGTCCATACCATTTTGATGAGAGGCTTTCTGGGCTCCAAGAAAACCATAACTACCCATACTATTTCTATTATAATGATTACCAGCAAAGCCTAAAATGATAACATGTTTTTATGCATAGCAAAAGTGTAAAAATTAATAATTATGCTTATGAATAATTTGTAATACAAAAATCATTTCAAAAGAAATGAGTATTTTGCCATGTAAGGAAAATACTTGTCACATTCCGTACTACAAATTACCGTCTACCATTTGAGCTGGTAAGATGGGCATGTATACCATTAAATGAAAGATCGTGTACATGTCAAAATTATTAAATTTTTTTGCCATTGAAATTTAAAAAAAAAACAAGATACATTAAAAAAAAACTGTCACATTCCCCAGGTTACAGGTATTACATGTATCATATAATTACCGTTTTACTCTCCCAGTTGAACATGTATATCATATACTGTATACCACCATTAAATGGAAGATCGTGTAAACTTTGTAATGCTAAAGATGTTGCCGAAAACTACAATAGCAAAACTTTCTTTTTAATACCATATATAAAATAAACTTAAGTATATTAATTTGAATACCACTTTTTTACAAAATACAGACATTTACAAATATACTTTAAAGCAAATTAAACAAATACTATGTTTATATAAAAAATGTATGATTTAGCCTGTACTCCATTATCCCCAGGTTACAGGTATATATTACAGGTATCATATATGTTTTTATTTTTCCATTTTTATTTCTCTCCCATTTTATTTTCTGATCATGTATATCATATACTTGTAACTCCGACCTCAATTTACCGATATCTAGTATTTTTATGTCTCCTTATAGCGTGATGGATATTTTTTAAAAAATGATCGAAAAAGGGGTAGATATATTTCAAAGTTTTTATTTTGCTTATTTTTTTACGTTTGAATATTCCTATTTACCTTCACTATGTCACTTGTATCCTTGCATTCGTCAATTCGATCTTCCAAACCAAACCAGTACGCCATTGAGTCCAAGAAAGAAGGATCATCCTCTTGACTAAGGACCAGAAGTTAAATTACAGTAAATGAAAGCTGAAGTATTAGAATCCCTAATAGCAATCCAGCATAAACATGTACTATGAAAATATTTTCTAACAAAAGGTTCGGAGATAAATTGAACAAACAAGTCGCTTACCATTCTAGAAAATCTAAAAATGGATAAAGAAAAACCCCTGTTGCAATGCTCTTACACACTCCATAAACTTCGGTGAAACCAAACCTCATATTTGCTGATTGAAGAAGAACAAAATGATTACATAGTTACAGTGCACCAGTATTGTGACGTCATAAAAGAACAACGTCATAATACGTAGCCTCGATTTGAAAGCTGGTAGCCAGAGAAAAAATTCAAAATTCGAAAATCCTATTTCGGGGGGGGGGGCCAATTTTTTTTAATGCCAACTTCTTTCAGTACCCATTTTTTTGAACTTCAAAACTACATTTTCCTGGGCAACCAGCATTTCAATCCCCCTCGGGCCCTGTTGCTACGTGTCTGCTTTTGGGCTGGTATAGAGATCAAATCCAGGACCCATGCATCACTAATCAGGTATTCTGCCCACTGAGCTACCCAAGCCATTATCCAAGACCCAATCCATCACACCCCTCTCCTTAAATCGACCTTACCCTTCAACAAAACCTAAGTTGTTTACCCCCTGGCAGAACTTTCACCCGCAAGTCCAGGGGTAGTCAACAGCACCAAATCTATAACAGGAAAGGAGAAAATGTCAGGTTAGAACATCTCAGGACATCTTCACAATATCAAGGTTTTGGGATACCATTCCTCTACACCAATCCTGGTTATTGTATAGGGAAAATATCAAAAAATCTTGATTTTGTGAAGATGGACAGGAAAATGAGTCCTGATCCATTCCATCAATAGTCAGGTGCTCCTCTTACTAAGCTACTCAGGCCAAATCATCACAATGGCTATATTTTCATGCTTCTAGTAATAAGATCCCATTGTCTCTTTCAAGATTTTGTTATTATGTAAAATATATATATAAAAAAACCAGGTAGTATTTAGAGACTTTAATATGTAAAACTACTCTAACTGAACACAGACTTCATTTAATATGCATTGTATATAGAACTGCTTTCATTACAATGTCACAACAAGTGCAATTATATTGCTGTTCATGATCATATTTGTTCTTTTATAAATGCCTTTTCTTTTATACTATAATAAAAATATATTTCCAGTGATTCATCAAAATAAATCATATATATAACACTTTTACATTTAAAACAAAAGTATTCTACATTCAATTTTGAAAACTTTACATCTGTGGTAAATAATTTCTTTCTTTTACATCCCTCAATTTTCAAAAAGTTATCATCTAGTCTGATATTCAAAAACAACCAAACATATTTCAAAAACAACCCCCCAAAAAAACAAGATCTGACTTATGATTTTAAATGAATGATGTGTCTTTGTTGTTATTCTTTAATTTCAAAATATTTCCCCAATTTACTCAATTTAAATATAACAAAAAACACAGTATTCTATATATAGAAAAAGAGTGTTTAAAAAATTGACGAACTTGTGTTGTTTTATAAACTTAATTTTTATGAAAATAAACTTACCTGCCTGGGAATGTAAAACAAAGAAATAATTAACTGTGGCCTTACATACATTTTTAAAAATTCAAAATTGAAATACATCGAACCAACTGCCAATAAATTAGCACTAAACACCTGTATTTTTTCATTTCAATAATCCACATTTTTTCTCATTAATTTATACTTTAAGGAAATAATATTTCATTGTAATAATTAAATAAATAAGTTAATAAGTAATTAAAATAACATTACATTGTTTGAAAATTACAGTATTGTTTAACAATTTTTTCTCACTATTCCCAACAGTAAAGACATTTCAATACAAAAAGTGAACTTATAGAACAGAAACTTCACTGATATTGCAAATGATTTTCCCCATGAATTGAAATTGCAATAGATTTAGATTTAAATAATAAAACACTTCTTTCAATGTAACTTAAAAATCAGAAATCTGCTATTTCATTAACAGAAATGTCCATATCAAAATAAATTCAAAACTACTGATTAATCATTTATCAAATTTTCTCATGACTTTGCTATTTTCCCCACGACAGTTTGGGCAAAACCACTTCCCTTTTGGTTTGTTCACAAGAGCAACACAATTAAAATGAAACCATTCGATAACACAAGCGTCATTGTCACATCCTATCATTTCTCCGTAGGAGACTTGTTCACACAGGCAGTAGGTAGGTTCATCAGGATCAATAGGAGGTTCTATAGGACTGGTCGGTGCCTGCTCCTTCTTGGTGGCTTTTCTTTTCTTCTTCTTCTTTGGACCTTTGTCTTGAATATCCTAAAAAACAACATTATTTTAATTTTCCTGTAAAATCATATTCTTAAGGAAAAAATACATCTTGGAAATTAAAAGAAAAAGTCGTATAGAGAAGAGTGTTATAATTAGCTCAATGGAAATTTCAGTGATAGCCAAGTTAAACTTCATGCATCATTTTGGTAAAGTAAAAAAGAAATTAAAACTGCACAAGGCAAATTTTGTTGCCATAATTTCCTTTATAAAATAACGATCTTACAATTTCCTTTTATCTTTACCACACAATAGAAATTTAGAATTATGCTTCTTGGGGTCCAGTTTAACTTCAGTTTCTTTTTAATCTTTTTCTTAAACAATACTTTAAGATATCTAATTTTAGCATCAAAATACTTAATATTTCTTTTCAGTAAATTAGCCTAATTCTCTAAGACATTTCCCTAACCTTCTTTTCTTCCTCTTTGGTGATAGAGTCATTTGCAGTTTTCTGTCTTCTCTGACGTTTCATTGGCATCTTCTCTATCTTGTCTTCTTGTTTTACAGCTTTCGTCTGAGTTACAATTGTAAGTGGCTGTTCCTCTTTCTCTATTTCTCGTGAAGATGTCGGATCTTGAGGGGAAAAAGTTAAAAATATTAAGCAAACATTAAATATACCTGATAGCCCAAAATAAATTTTGTCTGATATATTTCCATTATTCCCATTTTTCTCTTTTATAGAGTGTATAGGATCTGAAATGATTTACATCTAATCTCCTCTACAAACCTAAGTTTTCTCTATCCTGCTCTAATTGCCGCTGCCTATTTTCAATATGCTCTGCTATGACAGTCATTAAGCCAAGCTTTTCATCTCCGATTTCTTGACACCGTATCAGAGCCCTTTGTATGGACATAAGAGCTTTTTTCTTGGCAAGTCCCTCCACTTCCTTGGTGTAAATTTCTTGGTGATAATCAATGTCTTGCATTATATCTGTTCATGTATAAAACCAAAATTATTACATATAACTTATCCCATACTTTTATCTATGTTCCATCTTATCTCATAAACTTTTATTGTCACACAAATATACTATATATTATCGATAACTTTGTGACAAACAATTTTCAACTTGTTTACATTCAAGATAGAGGAAATTCGAACCATCAACGAACCAAACATTGAAATCTGTAAAAACAAAATGAACACAGAAAGTATATCTTATTTACAACAGCATCATAAAGAAAAAATAAATGAATTAAAGAAAATACCTCTACATTGGATATCCAATTCGCGCATTTGTGTAACAACTCGCTGCAGATCGTCAGGCAAATTTTCCATAGTATCGAGATAGTTCTCCAAATACGTTGCCGAGCATAGGGCTTCTACTGCTGCTTGGTTTAACATACTCATGGCGGAATAAAGTCAAAAATTAGGAGAAATTTAGTAGATTGGCTAAGACATAATGATCAACATGATCAAATTCGCAAGAGTTTCCCTCCACTGTTTATTTTTTCGCATATGACCTAGATGCCTCGTTTTCGAAACATTCAATATCAAATCGAGGTTGATTCGGGGAATCCTCATTAAATGGGTGGGTGGATCAAATACTGTATAGGCGTTTGCATGAATTCTTCACCTGTTTCACATATAAAAAATAATTACAAAAAATGAAACGAGGTCTCTTGTTAAAATGATACAAGGCCCAGGGGCCACATCGCTCACCTGACTGTTGAATCAGTTTAGTATAGAAAAGCTTAAATGCATATACGTGGTCCCGACCTATCCCTAAAAAAGGGGGGTATAATTTTAACAAAAACTGAATCCATAATAACTAAGGATTCCTACATATCTTTATTTGACTAACTATACATGTGTTGACTTTTTTTAGGTTAGAAACTTTCATTGTGGCCCCACCATACCCCTTGGGGTCATGATTTGGACAAATCATACTTACATATTTTTTTTTGACTAACTGTGACTTTTTTCCTTAACTTTCAACACCCTACCCCTGGGGGTCATGATTTGAGCAAATTTGAAGCTGACACTAAATGAGAATACTTCCATATAGATATGACCAATAGTTTTGCTGTTCATGAAAAGAAGATTTTTCCAATATTTCTATATAAATGTTTCATTGTCCATTATGGGCCCCATCCAACTCCCAGGGGAATTGATAAAACTTGAATCTACAATATTTGACAATAATTCCATATGAGTTTCATCTTTCCTGGTCCATTGGTTCGTGAGAATATAGCTTTTAAAGTCTACGCTATTTTGTGAATACCCCCCCCCTCCTTGGAGGAAAGCGTGGTCATTCATTTGAACAAACTTGAATCCAGTTCACCAAAGGATAATCTGGGTCAAGTTTGAAATTGGCTCAGTAGCTCTGGAGAAGAAAATAAAATTGTGACAAGAGACACATGGACCACAATGCTCACCTGAGTAACTTTGTCCATGCATGCTGTTCTTCACTAGATATTCCCTTTTATTATAAGATGGGTCATGATTTGGACAATTTAGAATACATCCCATCCCAGGATCCTTCCACATAAGTTTCAGCTATTCTGGCCCATTGATTTTTGAGAAGTAGATTTTAAAAGATTTTTTTTCCTTTTCATGCATATATCAATGTAAACATTAGACTTCCTATTGTGGCCCCATCTTACCCTTGGGGGTCATGATTTGAACAGTATAGAGTATAATAATATTATACTATCCCAGGATGTTTCATAAGTTTCAGCTTTTTTTGGGCCAGTGGTTCTTGAGAAGATTTTTTCATGACCAAACCCTATTTATGTCCCCCGCTTTCGCGAAAACGAGGGGACATTATCTCATTCGCCTGTCCGTCCGTCAGTCTGTCTAGCTGTCCGTCCGTCTGTCCGTCACAAAAATTTTAACCTTGTTCATAACTTTTGATTTAGCGGAGCTATGACTTTCATATTTCACTTATTTAATATCCTTCTTTGGGTACCACCAAATGTGACTTTTTTACCTTGACCTTGGAGTTTGACCCACTTTCACACAAAAATTTTAAACTTTTACTTTGGCCACAACTTTTAAACGGTAGATACTAGTACTTTCATATTTCACATATGTATTTTTTGTGGCAAAACATTTCATTGGATACCATGAAAATTTCCGTACTTATGAAAAAAACTTTAACATTGGCCATAACTTTTGAAGGGTTAAGGCTAAGGCTTTCATACTTCAAACATGTATATTTAATCCTTGTGACAAGACCTTTCATTGGGTGTCAATAACTTTGACCTCTGACCTTGACCTTGGAGTGGGGCCTACTTTATAAATACTTTAACCTTGGCTGTAATTTTTCAACGGTAAGGGCTTTTATACTTCAAATATGTAATCCTTGTGACAAGACCTTTCACTGGATGTCAATAACTTTGACCCTCTGAACTTGACCTTGGAGTGGGGCCTACTTTTTAAATACTTTAACCTTCGCCATAATTTTTCAACGGTAAGGGCTTTTATACTTCGAATATGTAATACTTGTAACAAGACCTGATTTATGAAGCAAACAACTTTGACCCTTTGACCCTGGAGTTTGACCTACCTTTCAAAACCTTATGCTTGGTCATAACCTTTTCACGGTAAGGGCTAGGAATTTCATACTTCACATATGTTATCCTTGTGAGAAGTACTTTCATTGGAACTTTGACCCTTTGACCTTGACCATAGAGTTTGACTAAAAAACAAATCTTGACCATAATGTTGAAGGGTTAGGGCTTTCATACTTCACTTATTTAATCCTTGTTACAAGACCTTTCATTGGATATCAAGAACTTTGACCTTGACCTTGGAGTTTGACCTACTCTTTAAAAACTTTAACCTTAGCCAAAACTTTTGAATAGTTAGGGCTAGGGATTTCATACTTCACATATGTAATCCTTGTGAGAAGAACTTTCATTGGATATCAAGAACTTTGACCTTTGGCATTGACCTTGGGGTTTTGACTTACTTTCTTTAAAAAAATAAACCTTGACCATAACTTTGAAGGGTTAGGGCTAGGGCTTTCTTACTTCAAATATTTAATCCTTGTGACATGACCTTTCATCGGATATCAAGAACTTTGACCCCCTGACCTTGGAGTTTGGCCTACTTTTAAAAAACGTTAACCTTGGCCATAACTTTTGGATGGTAAGGGCTAGGGCTTTTATTTTTCAAATATATAATACTTGTGACAAGACCTTTCTCATGAAACCAACAACTTTGACCCTTTGACCTTGGTTTTTGACCTACCTTTCAAAAACTTATCCTTGGCCTTAACTTTTGAACAGGTGATGCTAGGGCTTTCATATTTCACAATCGTATTTCTTGTGAGAAGACTCTACTTTGGGTGCCAACATACTAATTTGCATTTAAGAGAAGTTTAATCTTCATTATATTGCCATACGGGGTCATCAGTGTTTCAAAGAAATCATAGCATGCTCGGGAATATCTTGTCACAGGTAATGCACATGTCAAATATGAAAGCCTTATCTCTTCTCAATCAAAAGTTATAAGGAAAAATTCACATTTTCTAAAACTAGGTCAAACTTCAAGGACAAGGACACAAGAATAAAAAAAATCATAGTGCATATAGAAAGGTTTTGTCACAAGCAATCAACAGATTTAATAAGAAAGCCCAATGTCTTCACATTCAAAAGACAAAAGACCAGGGTTCAAGTTTTTGAAAAATAGGTCAAACCTCAAAGTCAAGGTCACAGGGTTAAAAATCATAGTGTGCTTAGAAAGGTTTTGCCATAGGCAATATACAGGTTTAGCATGAAAGCCCCATCTCTTCTCATTCAATAGTCATGACCAATTTTAAGACTTTATTTTTTAAAAGTAGGTCAAACTTCAAGATCGAGGTCATGAGGTCAGAAAATCATAGTGTATTTAGAAAGGTCTTGTCACAGGCAATAAACAGTTCTAATATGAAAGCACTATATGTTCTCATTCAAAAGTTATGACCAAGGTTAAAGTTTTTGAAAAGTAGCTCAAACTTCAATGTCAAGGTCACAAGGTCAAAAATCATAAAGTATTTAGAAAGGTATTGTCACAGGTGATATACAAGTGAAATATGAAAGCCCTATCTCTTCTCATTCAAAAGTTATGGCCAATTCAATGTAATGTTTAATTTTTTAAAAGTAGGTCAAACTTCAATGTCAAGGTCATGGGATAAAAAAATCATAAAGTTTTTAGAAAGATTTTGTCACAGGTAATATAAATGTGTAATATGAAAGTCTATCTCTTCTCATTCAAAAGATATGACCAAGGTTAAACTTTTTGTGACGGATGGACAGACAGACAGACAGATGAATGAGATTTAATGCCCCCCTGCTTTCACAAAAGAGGGGGACAAAAATGCAAAGACACTCCAGCAGTTCTTAATTACCTCATTGTTCAACATACGATAAAGGGAACAATTTTATGGCTACTTTGGCTAAGAGGATAGCAATATTCATGGTATCCAACAGTTACATACTAGTATATATTGCTGTACAGAAAGGAGCTCAGTTCTGGGGGAGGGGGTAGATGTATGGAACATTCAAGTATTCCAACACAAATCAGAGAGGCAAATCCACTTTGTCATGAAAATATGAGGCAAGGATAGCAGGAACCAGGAGCCATGAGTTCTATGACCTATACCTGTGTACAGCCGCACATGGTCTACATGAATACGGTGTACTTGTGTACAACGTGCAGTTGCCATAAGAGGAATCAATGAAAATCACTCATGTAACCTAAACCTTAGTGTTCTGTTCTATACTTTTTGATATTTCTTAGAAGTACAGACAAGTAGGTAGATCTACATCAAGATTTAAACTGAGTATTAGACTTCTTGATCCCTGACCACTCTCTTTCTTTTCCTCTTGGGCAACATAGCTTCATCTATCAGCTTAGTTTGTTGTATTATACTCAGGTGCCCATTAAGGCTCGTTGGCCTCTTGCTTGTGTCATCATCAGAAAAGGTTCCAGAGTTGTCAATTGATGCATGACAACAAACAGGGGCAGATATTACAGTCAAAGAAAAACTTATCTGCAGAACTCAGACAAATAAAGCATTATCAGTAGCAGAGAGCTACAGTTCTATAGATAAGCACAATTAAAAACTTCATTACAGTAACACTTGGATACATATATATATATAAACTAACTCTTGGGGACTTGTGAATATACATGTACCTCACTATACCTATAATTTGTTATATCTCGTATTTAATAAACTTCTAACAAATTTGCAATACACATTTTCCTTGAAGCATATGACTGCAAAAATGTGTCTAGGTGAGTACTAAAAATAAAAAAAATTTGGAGAACTCAAAATTTTAGGTGAGAAATTAATGTCTGTTTAATACTTAAAATATTTAATTAAATTAAAAATTTCATGAAAAAGATATATTTTTCCTTATTTATAAAAAATAATATTTTAACAAGAGATGTTTGTAAAACACTTATGCCCCCCTCCCTCCAAATTGGAATTTTTCTAAATCCCAAAGGGCATAACTCTGTCAAAAATGGCGCGATTGTACCCAAAACAGAACTTGACCAACATATTTATCTGAGAAATCTGTATACCAAATTTCATCTTGGTATGTGCAACCTCTGCAAAGAAAATAAATGGAAACTGCAAATAATTGGAATTTTTCTAAGTCCAAGGGACATAACTCTGTCAAAAATGGTGTGATCGTACCTAAAACAGAACTTGACCAAGATATTCATGTGATATTGACCAAGATATTTATGTGATATATCTGTATACCAAATTTCATTTCAGTATGTGCAACAGTTGCGAAGAAAATGAACGGAAACTAAATGGACCGACAGACAGCACCAAAGCAATATGCCCTCCCTTCTTCGAAGGGGGGCATAAAAATTGTACAAGACCACTTCCTCTTAAAGGTACATTTTTTTTTTTTTTTTTGGCATTTCAATTAGCCAAGTCACAATTAGTAGCTGTGGAGAAATTAAAAACTAGGAGAACCTTTTAGTATTTTTTTATTTGAAAGAAAAATCCTTTGCTAAAGTTGACTATTCACAAATGACGAATAATTCAATGACTTTTCATTTCTCTATGAAAGTTGACTCTATTCACAAAAATATTTACAGAGTTAAGTCCCTTACCCTGGTAAACTACATCACAAAACCTGAATCTGACAACCACTTATCTGAGCAAACACATTGTAACATTTAGAAAATGTATAAAATAAAACAGGGTCATCATTGATAGAAATTCAGGATTTATTTATCAATACATAAAAAAAAAAACATGATAAATGATATGTATCAAAACTTTTACAGCAAGGTATTTTTTTATTTTGTGGTAATTCTGCAGAATTTATATATAGTTTCCATTATCACCCCATGTGTCTTAATTAAGTACAAACCATACAGTTTTAATTAGTCCATAGCTTTTAGCAAAATAGAAAATAATAATACTGTACAAATAAAGCTTAATATGCATATCGGTGCATGATTGTTATCTATTTACTCTAGATAGCAGCTAAAACACAGTTTTTAAATTTACAACTGCTTACCATTTGAATTATTCAATATCTGTGATGTTCAATGCATTCTCATTAAATGTATCTTGAAAGAATTAAGGATTTTGTAATACATGTACTATTTAACATATAACATATTAATTAATATCAGATCTATCAATGACAACCCTATACAATGAAAGACATATAACATGACTTATCGACTTACATTACATGAAAATAAATTAACAATATCCAAATTCTGTAAACAGTTTTACAGCTTGTATAAAAACACCCAATTCTTACGAAAAGCACTTGATTAATCTAAGATACAAAACAATAAAATGTACATCAATCTTCAGATACTGCTTTATACAAGAGAATTCATGGGGAAATTTTCCTATATGAGAAAAAAATACACATACAAAAAGTAATTCCTTTCTAGATGTCAACTTGCACCAAACTAAGCTAAGTAATAACTACATAAATGCTATTTATAGAAATTTGACCATGATGAAATGAACCAATGCAAAAACAAATGCTGGAACTTTAAAAAAAAAAATTTTGGAATATTATGAGACAACTTCATTGCATTGAGAGTTGTTCACCCTCTTTAAAAATTAAAAATAATACTAGAAACAGTTGACAATAAACCATGTAATATTCAGTAAATACAAAATCATTTTCCTAATCATTATCAATTTGATAACAATTGAGCAGTCAGCTGCATTATGAACCTTTCAATTCATAAAAAAATTCTGAGCATTTTCAAGTATATTCTCCATCTCTCTGTACATATAAACAAAAAAAATTTCATCATGAAGGCAAACATTTTTAATGTAGTTCAACACATGAAATTTTATTTTTTGTTTAAATCTTGAGAATAAGGAAAAGGTCATTCCAATTTGGGACTGTGGACACTTGAAGTAAATTTTGCACATCACTGGCTGTTGATTTTGCAGTAAATTTTGCACATCACTGGCTGTTGATTTTGCACTTGCAGATCAAGATTACTAATTATATTACAATCAGTGAATGCAGTTTTCTACATAAAAATAAACTTACTCATAATAATAATTGAGCTGTACCTTGTACAAAAATATCTGAGCATTCTGGTATACCATAGGTATATTCCACACCCCTATTTATATACATGTACCAAACACTTATTTTTAAAAAATTCTGTTACAGGAGGGGAAAAGGCATACAGAAAAACATCTTACAACATTACATCTGTATTCAAATCTTAAGAGTAAGCAAAACGATCATTCCAGGCAGGACGATTATGGATAGATCTTGAAGTGGATTTTGCACTGCATGGGCGACTAACAATGCTACTGGCTACGGATTTTGCACTCCCAGGGCGAGACCTGATTGTGCTTGCATTAGATTTAGCACTACTTGGCCTTGACCTTTGACCTGTGCTTCCCATGGTAGAGCCCAGGGTTGTATTTCCGCCCACATAGGTATGGTTTGAGACAGGTGAGCTGTGCATGGCTGCTATTGGAACTCCGTGAAGCAATGTGTGCTTGTAATCTTTGAGTTGTTGCTTTCGTGATAAGCCTTTGGTGGGACCTGTGTGTTGTAGTCTTTGCAAGAATTGCTGGAAATAAAGAAAATTAATGCAATTTAAGAAATGTAGACACTATCATACTTTCAAATCTACGAAAAAATAATCATGTTCTTTTATGTTTACAGGACACTCTTACATTTGTCAAATTCTTTTACTTCTTTGACTTTTCTAATCTATTCCAGTTATAATTGAGCTAAAAAAAATCTATAAAATGTAGAACACAACATGTCTGTATGTACACATGTATATAGAGGATATTCGATGTTTTGTAGTTGAATATGGAATTTATTTCATGAGTGGGACAGGATTTTTGATATTTTCACGAGTGCGAAGCACGAGTGAAAATATCAAAAAATCCTGTCTCACGAGTGAAATAAATTCCATATTCAACTACAAAACATTGAATTTTCTGTTTATTACATTTTAAAACAAAAATCTTTGATTTTTCCTTTGCCTCTGCCCTTTTGTATTACAATGATAGGCTACATGACATCATAGTTGAGCGGTTGAGACCTTATAGCTAAGTGAGGTGAAAACACTGTAAACATGGATTTAGCAACATATTTTTGGTAATTTTTTTACAGTTTTATTCGCTGTCAGAATGGTTTATTTATTTCCATCTATCTTATGTTATGTCAAGGAAGTTTTTTTTACAACAATCTTTCTTATGGGAAGGGAAATCGAGAGTTTTCCTGCACTTCTGATATTCATCACACCGTGACAGGATATCATTTTGATATCCTTTCACACTGTGACAGGATATCATTTTTATTCAATGAATAAATTACAGTATATCACGGGTAAAAATGTAATAAATTGATTTATTTTGTACCTGTCAACCTATAGCTCTGCAAGACTGCAACTTAATTGTATTACCGGTACAATCAATCTATTCCCAGATATACCTTCCCAGTATTAAATTGTCATGTTCAGCAAATATAAACGATTGAGGCTACTCTGCAAGTTTACTCAGGTATAAATCTTTTCATAACCACTCATATAATGACACTGATGGAGTACTTATGGAATTAGTCTATTTTTCCCCAGTAGTTAAGCAACAAAGCCCATTGCATTACCATGGCAACAGGAGATGAAAACCTGTTACAGGTTTGAATAATAGCATGTCAAATCAAATACACATTGCAATAATACATGTTTTAAATATGTATGTACATGTAATATGTTTGGAACCTTCTCAATCAAGAATCAAAATGCAGTAACTATTTAATTCCCCCCTCCCTTTGATTCTACATAAATTTACTGATCTTGAGTTGACTAGAAGTTCATCGTAATATACATCGTATATATATGGTTCTAAATGTACAATTCTGTCCATTAAAGCATGTCCAATATAAAGCACTAGTATGCCTACACTAAATCAACCTAAGGACCTTCTTGATCCTTTTAAAACCTTTTTAAATCCACGGATAGACGGGTTGATATATGTTTATATCTCCCTAAAATCGATTACCACAACAGCCATACTGTTCAAATATAGTTCCTATTTACCCAGAAGTTTATATATCTTAAGTTGTCTAGCATGTCTGTAGAGTTATTGATTTAGAAATTATAAGCATGAGCAAATTTAGGCCTTTTAGGTCTATTCATCAAACTCATTTTGTATTAATGGAACAGACAATTGGTTTCCATGCTTATTTAAATTGTTCAGTCATAAATCACAGGAACTCTGTGAACCGTCCTTTTAAGAGACCTAGCAATTATTTGACAAGACTTGCTGCCATCACAGCAACAGAGATGATGTCTCAGTAAACTTGAATTGATTAATCTACTAAAAAAAAAAAAAAAGAATTCTGCAATACAAATACAAGCAATGTATGTATGCATAATGACTCAAAAAACTAGAACATTAAAATACACATTTATATTTTGTGGTTGGATAAGAACCAAATCGCATAACAAAATACATGTTCCAAAAAAAAATTTCTTTCATTAAATCCCTTAAGAGGAGCATATTTTCTATATATCAAAATTTGAATCTTCTTTTACATGTGTTTGCTTTAATGATTACATGTACTTGACTGCCTTGCTCTGTTACCAACTGTGCACTTATCAATTTATATCTTATATATATATATATATATAGGTAGTACAATGTATTCATAGTCATAATAAATAGAATCTGAGACTTTTCTGTAGAAAATGGTGAGATCATTATTTAAGTGATGAACAATTTGCAATATAGACTAAGCCCTTTCTTCAAGATTCAAAACTAATATGATATTCTTTTTTCTAAGGTGTTTAAAGTCTTTTATCTTCAGAATAAGAAATGTAAACAACAAACTTCAATTTAACTATTCACGGTAATAGTATAGATCTTTTGATCCCTTAAGCCTTTTGAAGCTAAATTTTAAACTCGATGAATTAACTTAGTAAATTGTGCAGAAATTAATACTGACAAAGCATGTACATTAAGCTATGAAGTATTATTGATTTTTGACCACTGTATTAAACAAATATAATTAGTTTTTTTACACAAGTAAATTTATATGAATAATCATAAGAAATGTAAAAGTTGTATAACAGTTAAATTATCAGTATTTCTCAATCCTTTCAATTAACAAGCAACATGCAAAAATACTGGGTATATCTGTTTTACCAACTGTTGGAAATATATATTATATTCTAAATAAAGCATACTAAATAGAACACAGGGTTAATATCAATGAGGAGTACAGATAGTTACCATGTTTTCCATTTCTATTCTCCTTTGTTCTCTTTGTCTATTAATTGCTGAGGGAGTAACGCGCTGCACACTGAGTGTAGGATCACGTGGCCCCTTCTTCTTTCCTTGATTTGGTCCTATATGCCTCATAATTTCTTTCAAAAGTCTTTGGTTTTCTTTCTCAATAAACTTTACCCTCTGAGTATCAAAAGTGAAGTTAGACTTTTCACTACTCTGGGGTTTGGGGGGCTCAAACATGACCCTCCTATTGCTCTTTATCCGTTGCTGTTTATCAATTTCTGAGACAGCTTCCATTAATATGCTCAAGTCCAGCTGCTTGCTTTGAAGTTGGACCTCACCAGAGTCATGATTAACTTGATTAGAGTATTGCACATGTCCATTGTCTAAATCTCTTGGTGATGGCAGAGGAGAAACGTCAGTCATTTCACTGTCTGAACCTGACTTACCACTAGCTGACCTTTTATCTTTCCTTTGATTTGACAGATCTTCAGATGATGGCGTTTTCTTTGTTATATTTATCCTCTCAATCCCATGTCCCCATGCTTCTTTAGATTTGTCATCAGGTCGGTTATATCTTGATCCCTTCTTCTGAGCTTTCTTTCGTTCCTCCTCGATGATTCTGCTTTCCTCACCAGAAGATTCATCTGAATAAGCACTAGAATCGCTCGAGTAACTATCTGAATCTGCTTTTCTTATACTTTTCTTTCCCTTGTTTTTAATCTGTACTCGTGATGTAGAGCCACCAGAGCTGTATGATATATCTGATTCAGATTCTATATCACTGTCAACCTCACTGCCACTCGATTCTGAACTAGAATATTTCTTTTCTTTTGCCCTGAAGCTTACGTCGCCATGTTTTTCATTGCCCTTTTCATCCGGTGGCACTTCGAAAATTCTGTTGTCCTCGTTTAACGATTCCAAAGAATCGTCAAGTTTGTTTCTAGGTGTGTCGAAAAAATCAAAATCGACCCTCTCACCTGCACTCGTTTTGATCACAGATGCCATAATGATTGATAATTTAATATTTTCACCTGTTCATCATTTCCACAGTTGTTTGATAGCAACACTGTGACGTCATTGACCGAAATCTCGCGAGAGTTAAAGCGAAATCCTGCGAAGTCGGAGAAGGCGGTAAAAATTAACATTATCATGTTTGAGCTGAATGAAATACTTTAAATATCAAATGTTGGGTGAAAGTATGCCCGTATACTTTAAATCCAATGTTATCAGACTAATTACTTATGACATTTTCTTAAATGTGCTCTTTGATAAATACACTTTCATCCACTCATTCTCTAGGCCGTATATTAGACCTCTTTTAGCTCGCCTCAATAAAGTTAGGAAAGTGTTTTGAGCAGATTTCATACAATGTTTTAACTTTTTTTCACCTAATTTTCATAATCATTGATCAGAGTTGTATCGATGATACATCAAGGCCTATATGTTTTATTCTAGAGAAGTTTTACTGACATGAAGCGTTTCAGCCAATATTTAACCAAAAAGATCAGACCAATGATTTATAGGTGCAATAGGCTATTGACCTGAATGTTTCAGATGCTGGCTCTAACCTTTAATTTCTTGCACAATGACAATGCACATATAACAAAGTTCAGACAAACATTAGGCCTAATAATTAAAGATGAAAAGACTATGTACACATAACTATTCTTTTTCTGATGAATTTCGTGGTAAAAGAATTTAAGGTTACCAGTTTCTAATACCATGGAGTCTTAAAAATAATTCAAGATTTGAAATATCCATACTAGGCTTGAAAGTGATCATCAAGAAATGATATTAAGATATTAGAAGGCATATTTACTGTACAGTAGAATAATACTTGATGTGACACATCCTTTTTTTTTCCAGATCAACAGATGCAAATATTGGAACTACAAATCTGAGGGACAGCAGGATCAGTTACATAAACCCTTGATGTTCCAGTATCAGAGATTTTTAATTACACAAGTTGTATTGCAAGTAAAGTTAACACTCTCATTGATAAGCAGCACAAAACGAAATACAAAGTCAGAATTAGTTCAAAGAAAGATCAAGTACCAGGGTAGCAGAAAAAACAATTAAAATATAAATTTAAAAATTGCATTGCAGGTTCCAAAAATATGGATAAGAGTGCCTGTACAACCCAGAAAATCAGTTTTCAAGTATTTTGCAATGAACAAAAAGCTAAATTGCAGGTGAAATACCCATTTTTGAGCAAATCTCAAATTAATCATAAAATAAAAGAGCTGTGGAAAAGAATGGATATTGCAGAAAAGCAATGTTACACCAAGACTGTATTATCACCACCTAAATTTAAGAAGAATATTCAAGTGAAGCAACAGAAAAAGTCTCAAAGCATAAAAAATTCTACAAGTATGTTAGCAACAAAAGGAATCAAAGACAGTGGGGGTAAAGTTTCACCTGTTTTAACACAGATCCAAACTGATAGCCAGACAGAAAAAAAGGGAATATCACACACTGAAAATTCTGAGGATTCCATAGATGAAACAAGGGAAGCATTGAACAAGAGAAGATGTAGCACAGACATTGTAAAAGATGTCCCAACAAATCAAGGTAGGAAAACTATTCCTTGGAAAGGACGACCAAGTATGGGTTCAACAGATCTTTGGAGTGATTCCTCCCCTCCTGATTCAAATAATAAGAAAAAGGCCAAATCAACAAAGAGTCAAATGGGTGTACATGGAATCCTGAAACCAAGCGGGTAAGTTTATTCATATCATGTTTTAAAAATAAAAAATTATGTATTATTTTGTTAATGACAAGTTTCTGTTCATTCTCATAGCTTGAAAAATATTTTTGCAAAATATTTTCATAACATATATAAAATAGATGTATATATTTTTGTCAGAGATGCTCCAAGGCTAAAAGCAAGGAACAGAGTATCATTTGGGTCTCCTGAAAATGAGTTATCATCCACATTGCCACCCCAGACCAATTCAGGTGACTTTAACACAGCTAACTCTGATGATGAAGACAACAGTGTACAGTTATTATGCAGAACAGATGATGACATGTATGACTTTGAAAAAATAGCCAGCTATGGGTTGTGTGTCGAGGAAGAGGATATTTATACAAATCAGAATAGATACATCCCCGACGATTGGAAGCAGGCCAGTGTGAATGAGACAACTAATGAGAGCATTCAACAATCTAATGAAAAAAATTCAGAGTTTAAGATTCCACAAAACAGAGAAATTAAGAAGAAAAAGGGGGCCAAACAAATAAAAGAAAGAAAAGATGATGGTAAATTATTATCTCCCTTGTCTGAAGGATCTAAAAATTCCCCAACAGCTATAACTACACCTCAGACTGAGGAAAGGCAGGAAAGAGGATTTCTAATCACTCCTCACATGAATGAAGTTCTGGTAGAGCAAAAACTACAAGAAGCCAAGAAAACTCCTAAAAAGAACAAAGCAGAATCCCCTAAATCTACCTCCAGAACAGGGTCTGTGAGAAAGAAGAGAGGGCAAGATGGTTTAGATTCAGAGAAAAGAAAAGATGAAAAACACTCTTCTGACACAGATTCCTTGTCTGTCATGCCATTAACAGAATCCGTTTCATCTGGAGCTGAGTCTGTTGCGAGTCCCAATATCCAGGATGGAGTGGAGAGATACATGAATGTACTGTCTGAGAAATTACAGAGGATGCATGGTACAGAGAATGTGAAGGAGACTATTCCAGAAGATGGTGCCTGTTTATCAGAGAGAGGGGATGGCAAAGTGATGAAAAATAAGTCTTCTTACTCTATGAAAAATTTTGCTTTACTGCCACAAAAGAGAAGGAAGGGTAAAAAACAAAAAGATCTTCACTATCCGAGTGAAATGTCAGAGTCTTCCACAGAGACAAAGGAAAATGTAGTGAAAAAACCAAGATGTCATCAGGACAAGAGGACAAAAAGAAATTTGGAAAGGTCTAGTTCATCTGATGAAAGGAAAGCAAGAACAAAGAGAACAAAGCAACAAGTTGTGAAAAATAAGTCCCCAAAGCCTTGTAAAACAACAAAAAAGGTTAAAAGTCCTGTAGGAAGAATGGATGCTGACAAGCTTATCTCGGAATCTCCAAACAAAATCGACAACAATTGCAATACAGAAGAGCCATCATTATATTTCACCGCAGACGACAGTTCTTCTAGTGGAGACGACATCCAGCCAACAAATAAAGTTCTGATGACAGCAATACTCAGGATGCAGAGAGCTGTACAGTGTCAAGAGACCTCCGATACTGAGGCTATCTCGCCTTGTCTCTCTGGAATCAGCCAGGTACTGCTAGTACAAAGCACAAACAACTTCTTCATTATGTATATACATACATTTTTATATTTGATAAGCACATGTAATTATTTATGGGGTTTTTATGCAAAAACCCAGGCCTCATCTCTGATTTCTTTATATAGCTGTCTTCAGTGGTGTCTGAGAAAGACATTACTACAGATGCAACAGCAGAGAAGGATTCGGTTAACAGATTATGTGAGGAAATCCAAGAGTCTAGCAGCAGTAGTGAGTGTAGCTGTACAGACAGCACCAAGAGTCAGACACCAGTACAAAAGCCCATCCAACCAAAAACAGGAAAGGATCCGGAAAGTTATGAGTGTATGGATGTTCCTCATGGTGAAAAGAAAAAATGCTCCCCTATAAAAGATGTAAGTGCAATTATAAAGAGGGTTTTGAGTGATATTGCCTATGATAACATAATGTATACAGTTAATCACTAATTGTTCTCAGTGTCTTTGATTTCACAAACTCCCAAAATTTTCTTGACACCAGGTCCGGGATCATGAAACAAACTTAAGAGTTCAGTCCAATTTTCAATCATCTGCAAAATGTTTATTAATATTTTACTTAATCTCTTCTTTTGGATATTTCAACAATTTTATGAGATGAACAAAATACATAATAATTTTGGACTGCTTGACGTCAACAAAATTCATGTACAATCTAAATTTTCGTTAAAATGATTAATGTTCTGTGGACTCATTGAGAACCTCTTCCAAGACACAGTATAAAGATAATTCTTTAAAACAAGTTACGTAAAGCCATGGACACGAAAATAAAGCTCCTTTCAATTATAACTGGAAGTAATGAAGCAATAATTACTTAGTCTGAAGAGTATAATTATTAACTTAATAAAAATTGCATTGCAGAGTCATGCTGATGGTTATGAAAAGGACATTTTTCAGATGTTTTCCAAGTTAAGTCCTGCTAAGGCACAAAACATGCAAAGAAGAAGGTAACGAGTGTTCATATATTTTTCCCTTGTTTTTATGCTTTTTAAGACAGAAAAAAGTGATCATTTGGTAAAAACATTTTTGTTAATGTTTCAGGTACATTACAAGCTCTCAGCATGAGGGAAGAAGCAACTTCAAAGATTTGTTTCAGGACAATAAAATATTTTAAATTTCAGATTTTTTCAATGATTACTGTAGTTTTTAATTTCCTTTTTATACAATGAGTATGCCTTTTTGATCAAGATGTTCATTAAATTTTTAAGGTGAGAGTTTTACTTGCTTATTTTTTAAATTTATTCACCTGAGCTGAATGCTTAAGTGAGCTTTTCTGATCAAATTTTGTCCCGTGTCTGACTCTCTGTCTATCCATCTGTAAACTTTTCACATTTTCAACTTCTTCTCCAAAACCACTACACCAAAAATGTCAGAAATTTTTTTTAAATTAAAAAATAATATGGCATTTGTGGGAATACAGTGGGATTCAAACCTTAGCTATAGAAATCCAGAGTATCAATTTGCTTTGAAACTAACAAGTGAACCAATAAACTACACAGGTCCTGATGGATTGTGGTACACTGTATTAATTCATGTGATATGACCCTTGCATAAATGGGCTTCAAGTACCGGTATTTCTTGGAAAGATGCAAATGTTTTGTCATTGAAGTGTACATGTACTTTGAAGGTACAGTGGAGCCTCATTTATCCGGACACTTTGGTTCCTAGATAATTTGTCCGGATATGTGAAGCGTCCGGATATCTGAATTACCAGTTAAACAAGACAAAAAACGTTAGAAAAAATTCCGTCCCAATGTAAAATCGTCCGGATACTGAAGCATCCAGATATCTGGCGGTCCACTGTATACTATTAGTTATTTCCTATCTAGCTTGTAACACGACCTTTGATTGGTTACAAAGTCGGGTGTAAATATCCGTGCAGCCGATTTGAGCCGGGTGTAAATAAAACGTGACGTCACAATGCATACATTCTCTATGATAAAAGCCAAATAACATGACGTCACGATGCATTGTAATACGTAGTTATCTAATCGATAGATTGAGATACACTCTGATGTTTACAAAACATTTTTATGGGTACAAAGGAAATAAATTTGTTATCCAGGTTGCAATCAAGGGTGTACAGGGATTTACCCCAGGTTGTATTCCACCCTTGATTGAACCTGGATAACTAATATTATCCAGGTTCAATCAAGGGTGTACGGGGATTTACCCCAGGTTTTATTCCATACACCCTGAGGCCGAAGGGTGTATGGAATACAACTTGGGGTAAATCTCGTACACCCTTGATTGCACCTGGATAACGAATTTATTTCCTTTGTACCCATAAAAATGCTTTGTAAACATCATAGTGTGTCTCAATCTAAAATGCATCGTGACGTCATGTTATTTGGCTTTTATCATAGAGAATGCATGCATTGTGACGTCAAGTTTTATTTACACCCGGCTCAAGTCGGGTGCACAGTTATTTACACCCGACTTTGTAATCAATCAAAGGTTTTGTTACAAGCTAGATAGGAAATAAAGGTCTTTGCTCCATGTTTTTGTAAACAAAAAAATGTGTGTATATTTTTATGCAAACTTTCAATATCATATAAGTAGAATTTTTATTGAGGATTTAATCTTGGCATTATAAGCAAGGGTGCTGAGATCACTAAAATTGAATATCATTAAAAATTCAAGCATTTTATTTATAATAGCTTCTTTGGTAAATATTTAAAAATCTCTAAAATTACATCTTGCTAAAAATGAAGTGCCAGTTTTTTAAGAGATATCGCTTAATTTGTGTCTCGCTAAAATTTTCACTTGTACGGTATTAACTTCATTCATTTTCAGTCTATAAGTACAGCCCCCCCTGCCTCTATGGTACCCCTGACCCTGGGGCCTTGACATTCACAATTCTGGAAGATTAAGGCCCTTGTTAATAACTATATAGATAGTTCATCTGCTTAATACCCAGGAGCAGAGAAGAAGATTTTCAAAGAAGTCATGTATTTTCACTATATAATCAATAGAGCCCCGCCCTAACACCAGAACCCCTAACCCTGGGGCCCTAAAAATTCACAATTTTGGTAGAGGCACTGATGCTCATCATAACTATGCACTTAGTTAGTTTATTTAATACCTAGGAGCAGAGAAGAAGATTTTCAAAGAATTCATGTATTTTCACTATATAATCACAAATTTTCGTGGGCATAAAATTTCGCAAAAATAGTTTCCCCCCCCCCAACGAAATAAACGACACACACACACACACACCAGAACCCCTGACCCTGGGGCCATAAAATTCACAATTTTGGTAGAGGCATTCTTGCTCATCATAACTATGCACTTAGTTGGTCTATTTAATACCCAGGAGCAGAGAAGAAGATTTTCAAAGAATTCATGTATTTTCACTATATAATTAATAGAGCCTAACACCAGAACCCCTGACCCTGGGGCCATACAATTCATAATTTTGGTAGAGGCACTCTTGCTCATCATAACTATGTACTTAGTTGGTTTATTTAATAACCAGGAGCAGAGAAGATGGTTTTCATAGAAATAATGCATTTTCACTATATACTTATTTAGCCCCGCCCTAGCACTAGAACCCCTTTCACTATATACTTATTTAGCCCCGCCCTAGCACTGTAACCCCTGACCCCAGGGCCATGAATTTCACAATTTTGGTAGAGGACTCAATGCTGATTACAATCATGCAAACAGTTTGACCGCTTGATGTCCAGAAGTAAAGAAGAAGATTTTTAAAGAATGCATTAATTTTAGTAGTTTTGGCCCCACTCCTCAGGCCCCAGGGGGGCAGGGATCATGAAATTCAGAATTTTTGTTTCCCTTCACCCATAGATGCTTTGTGCCAAATTTGGTTGAAATTGGTTCAGTGGTTGCAGAGAAGAAGCCGAAAATGTTCAAATGTTAACGCACGACGACGGACGAAAACAGATAGCAATAGGTCACCTGAGTTTACTCAGGTAACCTAAAAACCTTTGAAGCCCCACCTTCCCCAAGGGTCATGTTTTGAACAAACTTGAATCTCCACTACCTGAGGATGGTTCCATATTCATACGACTAATACTGAAAAGTAATACCGTAGCTGACGTGTTCGTGAGATTTGTTTGAAAGATTTTGTAAGAATATGCAAGGTGAGTTTTGGGTCTGCTGAGGATACTTTTTGTGCCTTTATCATAGGAGAATTACAATCTCAAAACCTGAATATTTTATCCCCTATTTTGGCCCCATCCTACTCCCAAGGGTCATGATTTGAAATAAAAAAAAAACCTTTATAGGATACTTCCTTATCAAGATGATGCATGAATTGACAAAGTTTGATGTTCTTTGCCAGTTAGGATTTCTTTAATGATTTTTCAGTATAGCTGTAAAATACCATAATTGTTGGACATAGTGACCTACTTTTTGATTTGAAACTTTCTGAGGATAAATGCATTAATTGACAAAGACTGATGGTTCTAATGAAAGTTTCAAATATTAAAGTAGGTCACTGTGACTTTTTATGGTTGAATGGTTCTTGAGGAAAAGGATTTTTTGAGATGCATCAAATTTTCAATCAGAGTTTGATGATTCTAAGCCAATAAGTACCAGAGATACTTAAATAAAGTTAAAATGTCATAAAAAGGTCACCGTGACTTTTTTTTTTTTCCGAGTTTACAAAATTTATCTTTCGGACAATGTTTGATGATTCTGAGCCAATGACTATTTTCCATATTTAAAAGTAGGTCATTGTGACCTACAATGATCGTAAAAAATGATGCCTCATTTTGATAATTCTAAGCATAAAAGTACCTAAGATATAACCATAAAATTTCAAAACTAGGTCACAGTGAATTACATGTATTATTTAAAAAACCAAGTTGCATCAAATGACAATTTTGACAATTCTAAGCCAAAAAGTACTTCAATACTTTATAGCCATAAAATGTGTAGTTGACCTCCTTTTTGGTCAACATTTTCAGAGGGCCCACTGCATCAACTGACAATGTTTCATGATAACTAAGCCAAAAAGTACCTGGATAATCAAAAGTTTCATTGTGACCTACTTTTTGGTCAACATTCTCGGAAAACCCAAGATGCCTCAACTGACAACGTTTAACAATTCTAGGCCAATAAGTACCCAGGATAAGTGAATAGAGCCATAAAATTCAAAACTAGGTCATGGTGACCTTCGTTTTGGTTGACATTTCCGAAAACTCTCATTAACTGACAAAGTTTTTGATTCTAAGCCAAAAAGTACCTAAGATCAAAATTAGCCATAAATTGTCAAAACTAGGTCACATTGATCTACTTTTTGGTCGACATTCTCCGAAAACCCAAGTTGTATCAACTGACAAAGTTTGATGATTATAAGCCAAAAAGTACCTAAGATACTGAAATATAGCCATAAAATGTCAAAACTAGGTCACAGTGACCTACTTTTTCACCTCATTCTTTTAAAACCCAAGTTGTATCAACTAACAAAGTTTGATGATTATAAGCCAAAAAGTACCTAAGATACTGAAATATAGCCATAAAATGTCAAAACTAGGTCACAGTGACCTAATTTTTGGACATTCCCAAATTTCTTTGATGTAATGACAAAGTTTGATGATCATAGGTCTAAAGTTTTCAAAATATACCTTTTATACAATTTGAAAACAAATTATGCAGAAGTATTCAAAAAGTAAAAATTGACCTATATTTATCATATAATATGTAAAGGCCCCATGATGGTCAATACAAGATTTGGTATATCTAAACCTCTCAGTTCTGAAATAATGGGATTAAATGTTTTAGATTGAGCCATGAAATTCAACAAGTATCACAGACCTACTTTTAAGTTGTACCTTGTAAAACAAGATGCATCAACTACAAAGTGTGATGATCATAGGCCTTAAAGTGTCCAAAATATGCCTTCAAATCAATTTGAAAACAAAAGCCCAAAATTTAAAAAGTTAGGTCACCACAGCAACTACTTTTGTTTCACATGATGTGAAGTCAAAAATGCATCAATTTACAAAATTTGATGATCCTATCTTATAGTGTAAAATATAACGTTTTTATTAAGTGTAAATTTAGGTCAACTTTGAAATTAAACAAAAACTTTGCCCCAGGGTATGCCTTTTGAACAATTTTTAATCTTCAGACAGACCTGAACCTTGTATGTAAGTTTGGTGAAAATCTGCCTGGTGGTTCTGGAGAAGAAGATTTTTTAAAAATCCAGTACTTTTGGTTCTATTTTCCTGATTATCTCCCCTTGTTTTAGGGTCCCAACCCTAGTTTTATTTTAGCCCTTGGACACAAGTACCCTGTAACAAATTTGACAATGATTGGCAAGGGGTTCTTAAATGGCCCAAAAATTAAAAAGTTAACGCACACCGCACACCGCACAAATGGCCATAGCATTGTTTTTGAGCCTTTGACTTCAGAAGTTTTGAAAAAAAATTTATAATACTTCCTTATCAAGAAAAAAGACATTGTTGTTTTTGAGAAGATTTCTTTAATGATTTTTCCAATATAGTCCCCCAGGGATCATAATTTGAACAAGAGGCCCATGGGCCTTATAGGTCACCTGAGCATTATGCAACAACTTTCCAGTGATTGAATTTGATTTTGTTTTAAGCCAAAATTTCACACTTTTGTAAGAGGCAATATCAATTTTACACTTAGCAGTTGCTTGTTGGTTACTTAAAAACCCATTGACAAGGCAGAGGAACAAAAAATACATTTCAACTAATCAGTAAATTCTTTAATAATCTGATAGTGCCCCTAACACATGAACCCCTGACCCTTGTGTGTTCAAAAATATTTGATTATAATTTAATTAATATTTAGGAGCAGATTTCAAACAATTCATGTTTTCAGGGTATAGTTGTCTAGGTACCCCTGTATTGAAATTCACAATTTTGGAATAGTCTGTTTGAAAGCCTATATAGGTAATCAACTCTTAAAACCCAGGAGCAGAGAAAAAATCACAGATTTTATGTATTTCACTATAATCAATATACCAACCTTCAGTTGGTAAAACCCTGACCCTAGTGGTTCTAAAATTCACAATTGTGGTAATTATATTGCTCATTATAACTATTCATTTTTTTGTTTATTTAATACCTATTTCAGAGAAAAATATTCAAAGAATTCTGTTTTCACTATATAATCCCTAGAGCCCCCCCCCCCCCCAACACAAGAACCTCTTGACAAAAATGCTGCTTTAAAATTAAAATTTTGGTAAGGTCCTCATTATAACTTGCACTTAGTTTATTTAATACCTAGGAGCAAAGAACAACCGATTTTCAAATTTTTATTTTCAAATATAATCAAAACACCCCCCCCCTTTACACTCAGAACCCCTGACCTTGAGGTCCTAAAATTCAAAATTTTGGTAAAGGAACTCTTACTCATCATAACCATGCACTTAGTTAATCTATTTAATAACCAGGAGAGAGAAAAATATTTTTGAATAATAATTTTTTTTCACTATATAATCATTGATTATGTTCCCCCCCCCCCTTATACATGTAAAACAGGGGCTATTAAAATTCACAATTTTATAAGAATAAGCATCATAACTATGTACTTAGGTTTATTTAATACCTAAGCAGAGAAGAAGCCTTTTTAGAGAATTCATTTTTTAATATTAATTGGTTGTTTCTGGGTCCCCTCTCCACACAATTTGAAATGCGTTATGAATGTATTTAAAATTTAGTACATATTTTGAAAAAAGGCACTCTTGCTCATTATAACAAAAAATACACTTTTTAAAATATTTTTTAACTATGAAAATAAGACTTTCAAAGAATTCATGTATTTTCACTTTAAATGATGATTACAACACCAGAACCCTGTGTCCTGGGGCCATAAAATTCACAATTTTGGTTTGCCTCTTGCTCATCATAACGTATGTAAAGTTTTTGGTTTAATAAACAGGAGCAGAGAAAATTTTTTTTTCAAAGAAATAATATTTTCATACATTTGATTAAGACATATAAAAATTCTAGAACCCCTGATTTCAGGGCCATGAATTTTTTTTTTTTGGTAAAGAAAAAAAATGCTATTTACATTATATAACAGTTTGACATGTCCAGGAGTAAAGAAGAAGATTTTTAAAGATTGCATAAATTTTAGTGGTTTTAGCCCCACAACTAAAAAGCAAAAGAAAACGGAAAGTCAGTGTTAATTCACAATTTTTGTTCTTCATGCATAGATGCTTTGTGCCTCAGATTTGGTACAATATGGACAACTGCAGGAAGAAGCTGAAAATGTTCAAATGTTATCGCACGACGAACGACATGTACAGGATAGCCCAAAAGTGAGCAGCACAGTTACCAATAGGTCACCTGAGTTTACTCAGGTGACCTGCAATAAAATTGTATAATTATGTAATGAAAGTTTATTAAAATGTTACTTTTTCTGAGAGAGGCAAGAATGGACATATTTTTTAACTTTGGTATTCTTGGCATCAAATTTTCATTAATTTAACAAGCAATCACATAATAATTTAAACATGCATCCACAAGTCATATAATGTTAAATCAGTAAAAAACAAACTTTTTTTTTGAGTTTACAAAATTTACTTTCACAATGATTAATACATGTAAGTCATTTATTTTCAGTATTTAATATGTGTACATTTAGTTTCACAATGATCAGTAAAAAATTTATTTTGAATAAATGAACATATCTTGAGATTGTTTCTCATTAATAAAATTCTTAAAAATCTTGTGAATTACATGTATTATTTAAAATGTTCTACAAAGATCAATTTAACACATCGGCATTTTCCTCTTTTATAAATTGTGTTATTTCCAATGCCGTAATTGCAATGACTGAACTGAAGTAAAAGTAGTTATATAACAGTTGTCTGGGAATTTTGGATCAAGTCTAATTTAACTTGTGATTAAACTTTGTTCATTTTTTTAAACATATATCACGCCAAATCCTGAATGACCACACCACCGCAGCCATGTCAGAAACAATTCATTTAGTGACTCACTTTCCTTTTTCTGTCAGTTATCTCTTGTTATGTAGGCTTTTGTGTTCTTACTGTTAAAAATCAAGCATATATCATTTTACTGTTAATGGACCCTTAACATGGCATTGGACAAAATGACAGACCCTTGTTAGTAAAACTGTTTGTCATAACCTCCACCGACGGTTACATTTAGACGCCTCCCTATGTTATCCACTTTCATATCTTTCAAACGGTTTAAACAATGATGCATCAATCATTAAACACATTCAACATCAAATTTCTTCAATAGTATTTCAAACCTTTTCTTCACTTGATCTAAAGATGATCTTTCTATTTTCATGGACATTCCCAAATTTCTTTGATCTGTATATGAAATAATTTGAATAAATTAGTGACTAATTTTTTTTTGAAATAGCATTTGTATATTGCAATTTAAACAAACAAATTATCAGAGAGTATTTACAAAAGGAAAAATTTTATATTTATCATATAATACTAAGATGATGGTAAATAGATTGTTCTGGGTATATTTACGTTTTTTCCCATTGATGTGGTCCAAGAAGTTGATTGAGTCTTTAACAACACAATCACAGACATTGCAGTAGTACCTATAAAACAGACCAATAAAATGTGTTAATAACCAGAACTGTAGGAGGAGTAGCATTTTGAAAGAATATCACAGAAATTTCTATTTTTTAGTAACCACAGCAACACCGTTCATCAAAATCAAAAATTGATACACAGAATTATGTATCTTAGTGTAGTCTACTTGTGTACCAAGTAATATTGAAATTAAACAAAAACTGTAGGAGTAGTAGCATTTTGAAAAACTGTTTACAGACAGACAGACGGATGGATGCAATACTATCGCATAAGCTCTTCTGGTCTCTGACCAGTAGAGCTAAAAATCTCATATGGGAGTTTTACTGAAAGTAGAGAATTTGGTAACAATATTTCATTTTATGACACAAGTCAAGCTTATACATCCCATTATCAGATGACTTAAATGAAAAAAAAATTAATATGTCCATGACTTACCCTCCCTGTTGTGAGGCTGGGGTTGTTTTTGTTATCACTTGTGACCTTCCAAGTTTTGAATCTAAATCAACCTACAATAAAAAAGCATTGTATGTTCAGCATTTCCTTATTGACTGAATGTTTTTATACTCATAACCAGAGGCCAATGGGCAACAACATTCACCTGAGTCACTCTGATGGTGTGACTCAGCATATGATTTTTTCTTACACTAAAACTTTCATACTTTTGTAAAAATAAATTTTATAGCTTTTGTGGTCCTACCCTAAAAACAATAGCCTTAATTTGAACAAAAATTAATTTACACTACTGGGAGGATGCTTTAAAACTCTGAAGCAAAGGTCTGTCACATGTGTGTCACATGAGGAAAGTTTCTTAAAATATTTTCAGCTAATGAATATTTAGGGGCCAGACAACATGTGCAGGGGTTGTAGGTATGTATTAACTTCAAATTTAGTGCAATAGCCTGTTTGAAAGCCTTACTGATTTTGTTATCACCTCTGGACAGTTCAACAGACTTGGAAAAATCACAATTTAGAAGTCTTCAATAATGCTTGCTTTATACCAACCTTCAGTTGGTAAAAGTTGTCCCAGTGGTTCTTGAAAAGAAGTGAATTATATTGTTCTTAAAATATTCCATTTTTTAATTTTATTAATTTATTTCTTAAGTAAAATATTGATCCTCTGTTTTCAGTGTTTTCCCTAAGAACCGACTACCGGCAAAATTGACCGCTTAAATTGACAAAAATGCTGCTTTGAAATTAAAATTTGCTGTAAGGTCCACAGAGACTTTATTCATAAACCTCAGCCCAATACCTGTAACAACTGATCTCTAACCTTTTACTTTGAAATAAAGGGAAAACACGTATTGTGTTTTACCTCAAAGGGTCTGGTCCATTATGTGAACAAATTTTTAAAATAAAGACTATATTAGAAAAATAATCCCTGTAGCAGTAGGTACTTGGTTAATAATATCCAACACTGAGTTAAATTTACCCCTAAAAAACACTACATCAGAAAAATTTCCCACAGCTTCTCCCTTGGACCTAAAAGTACTTAATATTTTTAATGAATCATAAAACTTTCACAATTTTTTTATTATCTCCCCTTGACAGAATGTTGACTTTTAGTCTGAATAAATTTCACTTGAAAATGTTTTGTTTGAATTTGGCCCTGTGGGAAAAAAATGAAAAGTGTATAAAATAGTTTACAGATAACCCATGGAGATATACATCTACAAAGATGAACCTTCTTCCATCAGAAAAACTGATTTCAGCCTTTGTCTCGGGCGATTGTATAAATGCCAGCTTATATTTCCTGGATCTTACTATTCTCTGAGACTGATGAGATGAAAGCATCACTCAGATGACACATTGAAGTAAGAAGTGTTTGGAAACAAAATTAATAATACCTTGTACTCTCTGGGTTTGAGAAGCTCCCTTTTCTGGGGCGGCTCTCTCAGTTCTTTTTCTAATAGTTTTCTCTGCTCCTCCTCCAGCCTCTCCTGAGCAAGACGTTCATATTCTTCCTTATCCCACTTACGTCTATGGTCCCCTGGATTTTTCTAAAAATTACAATAAAACATTTTCAATATTGGAATAAATGTATGTTCTTGTATGTACTAGAGAGCAATTCAAAGCTTTCTTTTTAACTTTTCAGCAGATAGCAATGAATTATTAACAATTTAGCACGTCAACATCCTCAATTTTTAGATTATTGTTTGGAACTTTGGAAAATTAAGAGATACAATGCATATACACAACTCATCTTTGTTTAAAATTTTATTTAAGTTTCTGTAAAATTCCATAATATTTATTCAAGCCCTGGAAGATAGGGCTGTATCAATATATCGATACGTATCAATATTCAAGAATAATATCGTATCGAAAAATAACTTCCAATATGTATTGGACAGACAGTTTTTCTTCTAATTTTGTTAAAAACATGGGAATTTCAATCACCCAAAGATTATATTTCACTTTTTTGAATTAAAACTGTTCAATAATTATATAATTTGTAAGGATATAACAGTTTTTATTAGTATTACAAAATACAAAGAGAATTTTATTTGAACATGTTCTGTCATTAAATTTTTACTGTCATTAAAAGTTTTAATTTGAAGTGTGATTTGTAATGACAATGAGACAAGAATTTAAAAATGGGTAATAAAACACTTAATTGTTATGAAATTCATGCATTAAAATGATTTAGAAGCCTTTTCTGATGGACTTGTTTTATAGTCCAATATATCGCATATCGCTTTAAAAAATATTGTATCGTATCGTGTCGAAAATTTTGGCTCAATACACAGCCCTACTGGAAGAGTAATCTAAAATGACTCTAAGTTATCCATTTACTCAGTTTAAAAACATGAAAATATATTGTGTAAATAAAAAATTCTAAGAATAAAATTGAAGCTTATCTTTTAAATGACCTTTTATTCAAAGAATAAAGTGTTAATATTGGTTTTTAGTGAGTGCACTCTACAGCCAGTTTTTAAACAGAGATTAATATACTTTTGTGTGTGTATTGGAATCTTAGGTAAGTTGTCCAACGATTGTCAATGCATAGGCAAGGTGATACAAATTAATTTTCATTGGTCATATTTTCCTTGGCTTTGAATTTACAATGTTATACTTTGAGGTAGAACACGCATAAAACAGGCCTGTTGTGCACAGCAAGTGAATGCAATGGAGTGGGATTAAAAAATTCTGATGTCTATATGAATTTTCCTTAAAGTTAAACTATTTGTTATTTTTTCACAAAACCGATTTTATGATAAAGACACTAAATGAGTATTTTGTTTTCTACTAAATATCCTGGCGTATTATATTTTCGACCTATTTACCGTAATTTACGGAATATAGGTCGATACTTTTTTTCTCAGAACCGCTGGGGTCGCCCAATATACAGAATTCGACCTATATTTTACGAAAAATGCCCCCTAATCAGTAAAATTTACGTCAATTTCAAAGCAAATTTGTGCCACTTTCGTAACTTTTTTGATTATTTTTCGCAAAAAAATTAATGCCCCGGTAAACAATAAAATATTTATTCTATAGCTTTCTTACAAAATAAATTCCATTAATTATCCGTTGATGACAAAGGAAAACAACATTGCTTCATCTATTAAATAATTCCTCAACGTATAAATTGTCCATTAACATCATGCGGTGTTAGGAAGTCGCGATCGTGTACTAAAAGTAAAACCGCAACCGTATCAAAATTTAAAATACGGAAATTTTTCACGATCACAACTGTAGTGTTTTTACTATTTATTAGTAAATAAATTGAAGTAGTATATTAAATATTTTTTATTGTCTTATCTTTATTTAAATGTAAAGTGAGTGAAATAATTTGTTGCCATTCAATTCCTAAATTTAATTACCCAAAAAAAAGCAGTTTACTGTGTTTTTTTTAATTTTAATTTTGTATACTGGTCAAACGAACTATCTTGAATATACCGATACAAAGATTGGCTTCTAACAGAATTTTTAACTGTCTGACAGATAAAGGGATTTACACTGTGTACGCAAAGGTGTTATAACACCTGTGTATAGTTTAAATGCCTGCGGGGCATGATTATTTACGTGCATTATAGGGTATTTGTTACACATCATTGAACAAACAAAGCCGTGAAATTCATGTTGACATTCAAATTGTGAATGTACTCTCAATTAAATTTATAAATTAAACTATAGAGTGTTAATATGATTTCAATTCTTTACTGTTGCTTGATATATACATTCAATGCATTTGCGTGTTTTAAAGTAATTGTCGTCCAAAATAATGTCTATTTAGCATCTTGTGTTAAAATAATAACGTATTTACGTGTTATTTATGCATCTGATTTAACAACAGTGTGAAACTAATTGAACAGGCAAGTAGAAAAATAAGTAACACAATTTAAAGAAGTTTTAACTACATTTTTTTTTTAAAAACTTTATTTAAATGCTATACTCATTAAAATACGTGTTTATTTTCTTGATACGTTCATGTCACGAATGTTTAGGGGTTTACCTGTTCTGATACGTTGTATCTGCGTAAGAATCTTTAGAAAATGGGAAACAAAGCCTCGTCCTATATAGTAAGTTCGTCCTATCTTAGGATTTTTCAAAAATTAAGGCTGAAAATGAGCCTTTCGACCTATATACCCCATCGACCTATAATCCCGAAATTACGGTAGATGTAATTTATTAATTTATTGCAAACTTTATAGAAGCTGAAAAACTATGGGCTTAAAATGTTAGCATATGTGTCTATGAATAAAATTATACAACCCAAATTGCAGTTTTGTGTTTATTTTATTTATATGCCATAATATGGGGAGGGTGCATTTTTACCTACAAAAATATTAGCGTCTTGTGTTTTCGACCTAAATATAGTATCAATGACCAAACAGTATTGGCTTTAAATATCTGTTGGATATTCCAAACAATAAAAATACGATTGTCTGTCTTTCAAAAAACATTGAACAAGTTTGATATTTCAGTTGCAAATACATTTATTCGTTGGTTGAACCCAACTGTCAGGAGCTGTGCATTTCCAAAAGAAATCAATGAAATTACGTTGCATTTTTCAGTAAAAATCTGTAAGAAAGTGCCCATTTCTAAGGGAGAAAAAAAATTTGTTTGATCCACCCATTCATTTCCATATTTCATGCGTCTCTTTGACAGAGATCTTAATTTTCTTTCGGGAAAATGTCATGAAAAAATCTTTGTAATTAACCGATTACGGCTTTGATTAATCAACAGATAAAATGTGCATTAGTAAAAAGACTATAATTTCTGACATCGGACTAAAACCACGGAGGGAATTCCGTTGAATTAATTATTTTGGGTATTTTCACTACAGTTGTGCTTGAAAAGTATTTTTCCAAGAGTAGCAACCGAAAATAATGTTCTACCGTATGGTATCTGCACGGGAAACAGATTGAGGAAAATAGGTCGAAAATACAATACGGTCGAAAATAGGATACGAGACGATATATCAGTGTGTATACATTATTCAATGAAACTCATTACCATACATCTTATAACAATTTAAAATATAAATGAAACTTCTTAGTTGACTTTAAAGTTTTCAATATCTCCGACATTTGTCAGTGTATACTTCATTTTAAATCTACATCATACAACCTCGTAAGCACCTGCCATCTTTGTTTTGATTTTAGTGACCCGAATTTCCTTTGTTGGACAAAGATAGGTCGTACTTAAAATTCGCTTGAAAGCATCTCGTTTATAAATAGAATTGAACAAATTAATTAGAGTCTGTGTGATCTTATTTTTTGATGAGTTTACTATATAATTATCAAAGATCAATTTAATTGATTTTAATACAATCTTTTTCATTTATGAAGTATATGACTTATTCAAAGAATAAATTATTCACAACTTTCGACCTTGACCTTTCTTTCTTCTTTACAATCTACTTCTTCCCAAAGTTTTCATTCGATGGTCCTTACTATAGATACTTGAGGTGTCTGAAAAACATTGATAGAAATACTATTTTGCTTTGAAGTTGGTGGAAATACTGACGTGTCAAGTTTCAGAATTATTTTTATACACCTCTGAGGAGAAGGAAACTTAGCTGTGGTATAATGAAAAAATCTTGTAACCTTCATTAACATATTCTGCAAAAGTTGACATGATAAAGCCTCTTATAAAGACAATGTTTTCTTTGCAAAAATTCTTACTTTAAACTTTCCTGTTGTTAATTACTTGTGACTGAATTGATAGTAATAGTACTGTAATTATCAGAACTGTTGTATCTTAACTTCCATGTATTCTTGTAGATCAATATTTTATTTAACATCACATGACTTGTGTTAACAATTTGTTTTGTTTATAATGGATACACCATATGTTTTCAGCTGAAGTGGTTGTTAAAGATACATGCAGTTACTGAACCCTTTTGAATGATAAGTCTGATTTCATGAAGTCATTTTACTTGCATACAATGTCCTTGTTAAGTTGCCATGCAGGGTTGTAAATTCAATTCCGAGGGTTTGGTTATGACCTAACCACTGATGACAACCAAGAGACTAGTTCCAAGAAAAAAAAAAATTGACAGACTAAAGTGCTAAAGTGTCACCCACAGAGAAATCTGTAACTTAATTGTGCACAATTCTGGTATTTTTAATATCTTTTATCGATATTCATTTATGATTTAACAAAGATATGCAGACACAAAACAGAACACAGTCTTCTTGAAGAGGGAAAAAGTACTTAAAATTACATGTGATGTTAGTTATTATATTTCTGTAGTTTAGAAGAAGATGTCAGACTCAGAAGATGATGCAGCATTTGCCAGTGCCGATGAAGGTGAGACTGATCCTCCCCTTACCACCCAACCAAGCCCAATCCCTGAGAAAGTGAAGACAAAAGAGGATGGCAGTAAGGCCAACAAAGCAGCAGGGGATGGAAAGAGTGAAGACAAGACATCAAAAATAAAATACAGTGAAAAGACAGCAAAACTGAAGGACAGTGAAAAGAAAGAGGACACTAAAAAAACTACTGCTCCAAAAGTAAAGGAGGCAGTTAAGACTGAGGTTCCACCAGTTACAAAACAAGAAGAAAAATCTAAAGGAGGAAAGGGAAAAAAGAAAAAAGGAAAGCAAGCTAAAACTGTGGTTAAAGATTCAGATAAAAATTCTGAAAGTACCTCAACAAAATCTGCACGTGATGAGAAGGTACCTGAAAAGGATAAGTCTTTACATTCAGAGGCAACAAATCTGTCCCAAGAGGAGCAGGAGTCAGAAATCGAAAGCTCAGAAATAAAGGAAAAACTAACCTTGTCAGAACCCCCTGTTACTAAAAGAGTGCCACAAGAAAACAAATCTCCAGAGCTTGAAGAAGGTACTAATAAAAAGAGTGATACAGAGCAGTGCAGAAAAGAAAACATTGTCAGTGAGGAGGGGACAACAGCTGATATGAAGTCAAAAGAACACCCAACTGCTTGTAAAGAGAGTCAAAAGACGGAACAGGAAAAACATGAACCCAAATCAGTTTTTGACAGGTTAACACAGCCCTCAAAGCAAAAGGTTTGGCTAGTATTCAAACTTTTAGAATAAAAAAAATCATTTTGCATTATTTCATCAAACATTTGATGCTTCTGTTTAAAAAGGATTTTTTATCATTGATAAGTTTTACCTGTCTTAAGTTAATTAATACAAAACACATGTCTCTACTTTTAGTCTGAGAGTTGGGGTTCATGGGGAAATTGGGGATCATCCTTAATGAATGTTGCATCTTCCTCTGTATCAACATTCAGTAACCAACTGGGTAAGCTGCAGGCTATTTCTTAATGATACACAGCTAGTTAATAAAATATACTTGATCATTTTCATGCATAAAACAAGATTGCTTAAACTTTGTTAAAGCTTTTATAATTGAGATTTTTTTTAGTGGCTCTACTCCTTATTTTATACACAGTAGGCATATACTAGCATTATTTTTTTTTTAATTAATGTGTAATTACCCTAGGTACTTAACTGATCTCCTAAAGGAGGATTATATTATGGGTTCTTTGTTTCTTTGCAAGATAGTGAACACAAAAAAACCCCATCTTTTTTCTGTAAATGTAAGAACTTTAATATCTAATTGATTTTTGTGATCAGGGAATTTTTAAAAGCCTCTGCACTGTTTCTGAACTTGGATTCCTTTATTTCCTCCAGAAATCAACTACCGGTATAACTTTGCCAATAACTTGAAATAATGAAATAATTTATATTTTAACTCAAAGGTGAAGGATTTACAACGATAATGGATAGTGTGGAAACAGCATTAGGAGCCCCACCAGTTGAGGAAATTCTGGAAGAAAAGGGACCAAACTCTCCTCCAGAAACAGTGAAAATGGAAAGACTAGAAGGACAGAAGGGTATTTCTTTTTTCTTTATTTTACATTGAGTCTTAGTCTTAAAGTTGCCAAAAATATTTTTATCATGTAGTAAGTGTAGTACAAAAATACCACATTAAAATATCCTTGATAACATAATAGTGTTTTTAATAATTAAAATATACTCGTATAAAAGATTGTATTAAATTCAGAAACATCAACTCCTGTGGAAACTGGAAAAACAGAGAAATCCACTGCTGTAAAGGAAGATAAGCCCCAAGAAGAACCTGCCACTTCCTCCAGTACAGCCAATGAGTCTTCCACCAGTACAGCCAGTGGGGGGAGTGGGTGGTGGTCTGGCTGGGGCATGTCTAATCTGTCTAACCTCTCTTCAGTGGTTCACAACACAACAAATATGGTCCAGAAATCAGTCCAGAATACCAGTAATATTGTTCAGAAATCTGTAAGCATCGCTCATAAGATATTAGACAAATATAGTCCTTTCTTAATGTTGATCTAAAGATGTTTTGACTTTAAAAAAAAGAATATGATACATGATGGCAATATCTATGGATTGAGCAAATGAAAGGGCTAAATTTGTTATACATATATTATTTACCACAAAGACTACATTAGGTAACCCATTTTAAAGGAAATTTTTAAAAATTTGAAAAAAAATAAAATTTTGATATCTACAATATTGACCCATTTTTGCAGAGTAAGACTTTGGTAACTGGGGGACTGGATGTGTTGGAAACAATAGGAAAGAAAACATTTGAGGTGATAAAAGATCATGACCCTGGACTAAGCAAGACCAGAGAGTTTTTATTTGACAAGCATGATAAGCCCAGCCTCTCCCAGGTTTTACGTGAGGCACAGAAGGAGGAGGAAGATAAAATAGAAAAAAAGAAAGAGGAGGATGAGGCCAGACTTACTAACTTTAAGGCCATGTTTGAGGATGATCAAGGTACAAAATATCTTGTGGATTGTTCAGCTAGGATTTAAGACATTTATGCATCTTGAGAATGTACATGTATTTATTTATCAATTTACACTTTACGATGTGTAGTAAGGGTGTTTGCATGCACATTGCTGATTTAAGATTATGTTCTTGATGCTGTAATTTTAAATATATTTTCCAGCATCATACTACTGATCTATAGTAGCTTAACAATTTATGATTTTCTGACCTTTTTATCATGTAGGTTATGCCCACCTGGAAGCCTTGGAGATGCTGTCCAATATGTGTGAGAAGACAGTGCATTCTTTGTTAGAGGATATGTCAGATCATAAGCTGGACTCCATTAAAGCCGAGCTGATCCGCATCAAGCAAGTGTTTGAAAGAATGCAAGAAGAAAATGATGGTATGCAGTAGAATTTAGATATTTATAATCATTAGGTTGTAGCTTCTTTAAGGAAAAAAGTAGAAAGTCTTATGCTTTCATTTAAGATGTGTTTTTAGTTTATGTATACACAATGTATAGGAATATATGGGTATATTATGAACACATAAGATAATTTGAAGATATAAAAGATACCTTAACTATGAAAGACTTGAACCCCAAAATTAATTTGATGCATGAAAGGTGACAAATATAAAGACATTGATATAAAAGACTTTAACAAGATTATAATTTGATGTATTAAAGATGATGATACTGAAGACAAAGAACATGAATTTGGAAAGTTAGTAGCAGAGCATCTGTCAGAAATTCATCTGGGGACCACTCCTGATAAACTCAATAAGGTAATCTTTGTAAGCTTCTCATGCAGAGAAAAGAAAAACTAAGCTTTTGGTCTCTCAGGGTCAAGATAATTTAAAATGAATAGAGAACTTTGCATGATAATTTTGTTGGAATTTCTGATTTAAATACACTTTGTCTCTATAATTGCCATTTCCATTTGTAAATTCCACTTTACCTAAGGACAAATTAATTCTATTTTCTTAATTCCTAATTTTTGCAGACCCAAGAAAAAATTCGGGAAACTATTGGCAAATATTTTGCCTCAGAGGACGTATCAGTCAAGGTAATATTGTTTTTCCTACCCTTACTTTCAGAATTATTCTAAATACTATTAGTCGTTTTAATTTCAAGGTTTTAAAATTCCACAATCTTTCAAAAAGTACCAATCGCGATGGTTTTAATTTCACGCTGCAAGAAATAAATTTCAAATTCATATTAGCATTAATACTTGTACATGTTTAAAAATTAATGATACATTCGCTACAGGTTTAATTTTGTGGATAAATGATAAATTGTGAACATACCAAAATTAAAACCATTGTGATTTCCCAATTTACAGTATTATGTAGTATATCAAAAGTAATCCTTTTGCCAAAGGTTTAGATCTTTAATTAAGATTATTTTAAGTATACACTATATAGATGAATTTTTACTGTATGTGATTGAAGATAAAATTTAACAACAGACTGAAAGATTGAGTAATGAAAGAGGAATTTATATAAAGTCTAAATCATGCAGCATTTCTTATACAAATGAGTAGAAAAGGAATCTTGCTTCTTTTTTAAATAGGAAATTCATCAAGCTGCCATTCAGGCCTTAGCTGAGTTTACTTCGAAATCCTTGGAGCAGTTCCATAAGGCTGGTGAACTGATAATCTTACAGCGAGACACTGGCAAACACTGTGAAAGCAGGGCCCACAGCTTAGAGAGGTACGGCTTTTCTTGCTTAATGCAGACATTGTTGTAAAGTTTGTCAAGTTACTCTGTCAAAATTGCATTCTTATAACAAGCATTTCCTCCTTTGTATACATCTTATTTGTTTTCTGAAAATGGTACACATATTGCAGATATGCATTTTGTTCTCCCTTCATAACAAGATTGACAGAGGCAATGCTTAAACCATTCTGTATTATCTTTGAATGTCCTTTTCTGTATTTATATAGATATCTCCATGAATTTGAAATAAAACTAAGAATAAATGCATAATAAGGGACATATAGTATGCCAACATGAAACTTGGAATATTGTATATGTACCTCTACATTTTTACAATCATTGTTTATCAATTTACAGATTGGCTAAAGTCTTGAGCACTGAAGTTGGTATCATAGCTACCAAGTTTTGTCACTGCTTAAATAAATTAGATGTAAGTATCAATGTGTATGTATTCAATCGGTTTTTTTAAATGAAGAAAAGAGAGTGGATAAAGTTAATTTTAAGCTTTTACTAGTAAGGCCTGTAAGAGGTTATGCAAGGATAAGGTGTCCATCATTGTATGTTATTTTTAAAAAATTGTAAAATACATTTACAATGTACCTTCAAATTGTAACTCATTTTAAAGGCTACTCCTCCTACAGTTTTAGTCTAATCTAATCTTTCCAGACTTAATCAAAGAAGATTATTCAAATTATTGCTGTTGCAAAGTTTCAAATCCACTTTCTACTTATTTTTCCTTTGTGAAATATGAACCAGGAGAGTTACAGTCTTGCTAGAGATTTTGGTTTAATTTTTTTCCAATTTCAATAAATCTGACAGATAAATAGACTAAACTTTATTAGTATATAGATAAAAATAGATCATTTCTGGATTTTGAGGACCACTCTTGCCAAAGTAGCCAAAAAAAATTCTGTGTATAAAACTCTAGTTCTGTAATGTTTTAGTCCAATTTTATTAAAACTAATATTTTGTTAAAGAACAGCAGTACACCAGAATATTGATACTATTGTGCAGTCCTACTTTCTTCTCTTCCTTTATCAAATATAAACCAGTAGACCTACAGTCTTGCCAGATAGTGGTTATCTTGTAAAGTGCCATTTCAATGCATCATTATTTTGAAAAATAAATAAAGTTCTTTTATCATGTCTGAGAACATTGCTGTTTTTCGTGTAGGAGAATGAGAATCCAGACCTCACATCAGTGGTAACCAACATATACTTAGAGGTATGTACATGTATGTCATATAAAAAATAATTTTGTTAAATGTTTACATTTGGACAACTTAGGAGGATTAAACTTCAGATTTGATTCATTTTTTTGCAATTTTTGCAGATCAAATCTCAATAATTTATACTCAAAATCATATGAAGAGTTAATTTCTTTAGAGATTAGAATGGTTTAATTCTTTGTAGGCCTCCAACAGCACCATGTACATTCAGGACGCTCTACAACTCCTGTTACCCTGCTTACAGCAAGCGGCCATACAGAGGTCACTGACGTAGCCAAAAAAATGGGGGAGGGAGGGAGGATGGGGGGAGCAAAATAAGTAACATTCTACAGTAAGTGAACAGTCAAAATGCAAGAAACAGAAAGGGGAGGGGCAATAAATTAAAACAAGAGACATTCTGCAGAGGAAACCTGCACCACAAAGGGAAGCAGTTGAAAGTGGATGTACTTGTGTAACTTGGAGCAGTTAGTATTGTCAGAAGTTGGTGATAATGTTTTGAAGTAAAAGAAATTTAATTTATGAATAAATGAATTAAATTATTGTGTACATTATTGTTATGCTCAAAAGTTATGAAGCAAGTTTTTGATTTTCAAAAAGAAATAAAAACAAGCAGTTTTTCCCTTTGTCTTTTATTAGGAAATAAAGTGTATATTATTTTGCTAAAAATATTTTGAGGAATATAAAATGACAAAGTTTGTCAGGCATCTATAATGATATGTATCTTTCCACATTGATATGTATCTTACACTAACACTCTAATACTCCCGTGTAATATTGTGTTAAGTAAAAATAAATTGGAGAAAAATAAATATAGGTCCAATCTATGGAAATTGTGTACAGTACGTGTAATACAAATTGCACAATGATATATAAATTGAAGAGGAAAAAAATCAGACAACAGTTATATACATGTACTACTAAAATGTCTGTGTTCAAAACATTTATAAAACCATTGTAAAAATGAGTGAAGTTTAAAATACAACAAATAACAAGAACCATTAATCTTTGAGATTACTTCTTTGTAAATAAGTATTTTGAGAAATTATCTGGGACTCTGTATTTTATTATCACAAGTTACCTATACAATTCTTCTATTGTATCTGCTTTAGAAAATTCAAAAAAAGAAATCACTGAACAGCAAGCAAGATTTATATATCACTGAAATTATTTCAACTTTTATACTTCAGTTGCCAAAATGTCATATAAATTGAAACCCTTTTGGGATCTAACATGATAATTGATGTTATAAAAGAAAAACTTCACAGCCAAAATATAGAAACTTGGGAGGATAGTAATTAATAGACAGAGAATTTGAAATGAGGGACAAATATAAAACTTCTTAAAAATATAAAATATACAAAAATTTATACAAAACAAAAATATGTATGACTGAAACTTGAATGTGAGCAAGCCATTTGTTTTGAACACCAGTTTATCCTGATATCTATTGACAAAATATCAATTCAGTTTCTGACAAAAAGTTCAATTATGCTAGAATACATTAAAAGTAGGTCTCTTTGAGTTATAATTTTGTGTTGATTCCACTGTCGGATTGGAATGCTGGATTTGCATTGCCGCTCTTTTCGTTGTATGGAGGGGGGTTGTCCTCTGCCTGGTATTTGGAGGCAGGCCCCGCCTTCATGATCGTGGGTCTGCCATCCTGTGGGCGCAGCTGATGATCTTTGAGTCCTTGTGGTGTTGTCAAGTACTTTAATGTCTGTGTAATTAGAAACATATGTATATAAAATTATTGGAAACAGTAGAGTAACAATATTTTGCTTCAGAAAACAAGATAAATAATACAGGTCTGCTAGTTTACCAGAAAACAAAACCTGTGCTATTGTTGAACCTAAAGTGAGTAAACCAAAGGGTTAAGGCACATATTTCTTATAAGAGAAAATGAATACATGTAATATTGAAGTTAAAAAAAAAAACCTTTGAAGGAAAAATAATATAATTGATGATAAACATTAATTCTGTACCTCTAGGGAAAATCCTAATTTAATGAACCGATAAATCATCATCAGGGGAATCCATATGGCTGCGAAGGCGGCCATTCCCCAGCCAATACCCACCGCCCAGGTGGGGAAAAAGTACTTAGGCTTAGTAGGTCTCTGGTAGTCCAACTCCGAATAGTTTACCACACTCATGATAAAGACACACTAAAAACAGGAAAGTTAATGTTTATCAACAATTTTTTAAGGATGTATCTTTCCTGTGCTACTTTAATTAGTTTAAGTTTTGACTGTTTGAGATAAAAGCAACATCAACTATTTTTGGCAGTTTTGTGAAAGTAAATTCATGCATATATTTCCTTTTAGAAGAACTTTGTAACAAATTCTGATTGTGAACCAGTACATGTTTATACTATTGGATAGGATCCTCCCACCTAAAAAAAAATTAACCCTGGAGCTAGGTAGACTTTTTCTTCACAAATAACATTAATTACACATAAGAAAAATTATGAAAAACAAATTTTTCCCATTTTTTCTGCCTAATGATGAAAATTTATGAAAAAGTCCAACAAGCTTTGGAGATGCAATAACTTGTACATTATATGGTTCACACTGAAGCTGTCATGCATATCATTTCTGATTTTTTTGCTTACCATGCAAAAGATAGGGGAGAGAACTGTCCAGGCCACCATCATGTATGGGTTGATACGGAATCCCAGCATCATCTCAAGGTTGTCATAGAACCGTCGTACACCTAGGGAGAAATGATACAGTAATATAAAACAAGCCAGCCTCTTTAACTAAAGACAAAGCTTAAGAGAGGTAGATTAATATAAAAGGTGAATTACCATAAATCCATGCAATGGCTATACATTCAAAGAAAGCTATGAAGAGGATGATTTTACTCCCAGAGTAGTAATCAAACAGCTGAAAAACATACATTCCTCCCTACAAAAGACATACAAAAAAAATAAAAATTTATCTATGTCAGAATTAATATTGTTTAGCATATTGAATGATCATTATTTTTTGGCTTTTAAAACATTTTAGAAGTGAACATACAAATTTTTCAACACACACTCAAGCAAATTTCTATTGCATGGTGGTCATAACAGGTATCCATAACTTTGCATCCTTTAATTAAATATATGTTATTGGGAAAAAATTCATTATTTTAAGATACTTGAGTTCTCAATTGCCAATATAATTCCTTTTGACTACTGAGGCCACTGGAGGTTTACAAGCTTAGAATGATACAACCCAGGGATTTTTTTTAATTGGTGGTGGGTTAGAAAAGAGGTGGGAGTATGAAACCTGGGAAAAAGATGCCAAATACATCACACACACACACACCCTCACACACACACACCCTCAGACATAGGGAACCAAAATTGGTCTTAAAATGTTTTTAATTAAGATTAATACCTAGTCCAGGAAAAAGAGTGCTTCCCCTTTGAAACTATGTGCATGCAGTCCAAAATGTTATCATAATTATGTATACTACGTTATCTTATTAGCACAGACACTGTAGTGAGGATAGAAACACTTGAATTATAAGATTCACTCACCCTTGAAACCATAGAAAGTCCTATAAAAAAATTGAGGACACACACAATCCCAATGAAGATCTCTTTCCTGTAGCCTCTGCGCAACAAATTCGGCCATTGGTCAACAACAGCAGAAATGACACCTTCTACACCCACAAACTAAAAACAGGAGACAAAAAACAATTCCTCAGTTAAATTGTCCATCATATTCCCTAAAAATAATGTATTATCACTGTCAAATTGGACCTGGATTGGAGGATCTGAGTTTGCATTCCTTGTAAACTAACCTGACTGTCCAGTCCTAGCAGAATCAACATCAAGAAAAACAGGATGGACCATATAGGAGCCCCGGGCATGAGGGACACTGCCTTAGGGTACGCGATGAATGCAAGTCCAGGACCTTTTGGAAAAAAAATTGTGTTTCATATTTCATTATTGGAACATATCTTTCTCCAGCATGCTAAAGGTTCACAGTGAGATATTTTTGATTGACTTGGTGCTGTGTAACTGTATATAAGGAGCATATAGGGACGTTAATTGAGGCTCTTACTTGTAGGAGTAGTACAGATCTCAGCATCTTAAGGTATTTTAAAAAAGTAATGACAAGCTTACCCCCAGCAGCCACATCTGCGATATCTACACCCTGAACGTCCGCCATGTGTCCAAGAATGGTGAAAATGATAAACCCAGCAAAGAAACTGGTACCACTGTTAGCACAGGCAAATATGATACAATCTCTGAAAGCAATGTTCGGGATATCAAAGTTTAACTGTAACACTGGACAAACTTCACAGATGTTAACTTAGAATATATGGAATGTTTCAATATTAACCTTTTGTGATGATAATTTCACAGTATTAATTTCCTTTTGCAATTGACTACCTGTATGAATTATGGTTGAAGGTGTTATAACTTCCCAGAGCTGTCAGAGCCCCGATGGCTATAGAATAGGAAAAGAAAATCTGTGTACCAGCATCCACCCATACCTGTAAATACATCATTAGATTTCTTGTTCACATTCTTATTCTACATTTACACAATAAAAATCATGCAAATAATGTCACAATAGAAAAAAATTAAGAATCAACCAATTGATAAAGTGTAAAAAATATGATAAAATAAAGTAAATAAAATGCAAACCAAACCAAAACTCCCCTAAAAACTATTTCCTTCAAAAAATACTTTAACCCCTCCCCCATATATTGGAAGGGGTGGGAGTACATGTAAAATGCTGTGCTTTTAACCACGTAAAAAGGCAAATAATGGTACAAAAAGTATTTTTAAAAAGTAATGAATGAATAAATGATGTTTTGAAATTAAAAAAACAAAAACAAATACAAAGTCGATCAGATACAGTTTAAACAATATAAATGTATGTATTTTTATTTATTTTAGTGTATTCAAGTTTTCTCTACAGAGAATTGTGCTAATATGCTTTAATTTATTTAAAAAGCAAATTATGTTGCCTCATATTCTTGTATGCATGTTAATCAATTGTCATTTCTTTTTTTCCATATATTTGTAAACCTTCAGATATATTTCTATTCAGAAGGCAGTGATAGCTTTTATTAATGCCATACAGCAATAAAAAAAAAAAACTTGTAAAAGAAGCAAAAGCAAAAGATATAAGCTTAAAAATCAGGTTAGCACGCCTGCAGGTTACTTTTCAAAAATAAAATATCACCAAGTAAATGGTGTGACCGTTGTCAAGACAACCGGTTCTACCTCAAGGTCAGCCAATTTTGCTAGATCTGGCTTTAAATAGAAGATGACACCTTCTTTTGCTCCCGGAAGAAGCGCATTTCGGATAAGCAATGCTGCCATGAACAAATATGGCGATGTTGCTGTCACATACATGACCTAATCAAAAATGATGGAAAAAGAAATAAACTTCACTTGGATAGAAAAAATCAGAAAATTTACCTCTAAATCATTTAGTCTAGACCAATCTGGAGTAAGATAAAAGAGGATTCCTTCCCGTGCCCCTGGCAGCAAACAGTTTCTGATCAACAGAGCTAACATAAACAAATAGGGAGACGTAGCTGTAATGTACATCACCTGTAATATTTAGATTCAATGACAAACACACTTAAAATACTATCATAACTATGTACATTTCACTGCAAGCTCATTACAATATGATTTTCACCATTATCTCATAAGAAAATAGATTTCACAATCTTATTTATAAACCTAGAATTTTTATAAATAAAATGTGTACATGTACACATTTCTGGTTGTGATAAAAATGTAAATTCAAAATTTCTCCATGGCGAGGTGCAGCCGAGGTTGACAATGGTTTTCGAGGGGTGTAATTTTCAATGTTACACTCAACTACATGCAATATTTATTATATTATACTGATTTTTTTAAATACAAATTCATATAACAGTGAACCGTGCGCGCATAAATTCTCCGCAGTCGCTATTTTTTGGAATATCACCCGTCATCAAGCACTGTTGACTGTTGCTACGCTGGAGGGCATGGCTTCATTATTCAGCGGGTAATAGTGTTTTTTAACAAATGTTTCTGGACCAATCAGATTCAACTAATTTACATGAAAGTATAGTATAGTAAAATATACCTATGAAATCCAAAAGTGCAAGCACCAGCTGTTCAAATGTTATGGTCAAGGTTAATTTTTTTTAAAAAGTGAATCAAACTCCAAGGTCATAGTAAAATGATCAAAATTAATCTTCCCAGATAAAAATCTTGTCGCAAAAGAAATAAGTCAAAGGGTGAAAATTGCTATCCAAGATCTTGTCCCAAGGATTACATATTCAAAGTATGAAAGGCAAAGCCCAAACTGTTCAACATTTATGGACATAGTGAAAGTTTGGTATTTTTGTGTAAAAGTGTGTCAAACTCCAAGGTCAAAGTCAAAAGGTCAGATTTGGTGGTGCTCAAAGAAAGGTCTTGTCAAAAGGAATACACCATATGAAATATGAAAGCCATAGCCCCACCCAGTCATAATTATGGGCAGAGTTAAAGTTTTTGCGGACGGACAAACAGATAGACGGACGGACGGTCAGGGCACAAAACTTCGTTTAAGGGGGCATCAAAAGTGAATCTAAACATTAATATGACGAGTGAAAATTCAAAATTGGTGAAATCAAACAAACCAATTTATGTGAAATTGGCACAGCCCAAATGACCTTTGGGCTAATAATCTTCGAAATTGTTTCTAAAATAAAAAAAATGCGGTGTTCAATGTTATTTATGTACATTGTTTATAAGAGCATATATGATCATGTTGTTTGTAAATGAATTGGATTTCCCCCAAATGTCACCTGCATGACATTATCAAATTTTCCCCTGAGAAAAAGCATTTTTTTTTATGAATACATATGTAAAAGTACATATGCCAGAATTACCCCTCGATATTATCAAGATTATTTACAGAATATATCAAAACATAAATATTCAATTCTATTTTAAGAACACCATCATTTATCAGTATAATTTATTCATTAGTTTAAGTGATGCAGTTCAAGCAATTACCTTTCCAGATGATTTGATTCCTTTACATATACAGCAATAGACGACAACCCAGGCGAACAGCAAGGTCAAGGCCAAATCCCACTTGATCTCACCCATGCTCTCTGGTTCAATTCCATCAGAAATATTCAAAACTTTGTTTCTTAAAAAAAATAAAAAGAACCTCTTAAATTAGTTCTAATAAACATAGGAAAAGATTTAGTTAAACCTGTAAATGATAAATACTTTTAAAGAAAGAGCATTTGTTTACAAAAGATAAAATTTCTGTTCAAATTAAAGAAATTAAGTAATGCAAATATATTGACCTAAAACAACATTAAGAAATAAAATGAATTCAAAATTAAAGCAAACTTGAACTAAAATCAAAATCAATATGTCAATGAAAAGAAAATTAGAATGATAATTTTAAAATGAATTAAATGATTTAAGACCAATATTGTAGAATTTTGATCAGGGCAGAGTTATCGACTTGAATTGCACCCCAATATTTTATTTTAATCATTAACCCTCATAATGAGGTATGAATTTTATATACAGAAGACAGTATTGTCTCGTTCATTACAAAAAAAAAATCATTCCGAATTAGATTGAAAATCACGCAGAAGAAAAGAAAATATAAATGTAAAATTGTGATAGTCCTCAAAAAGAAAAGAGAACGCATATTTGCGCTGGTAAAAACACTGGACCGCCTTATAAATTTAGGTACTTCCTAGACTTACTCCCAGAATTCCTGCACAGCATCAAGACGCAAGTGTTTGGGAATGCATGATTGGTTAACAAAGCTCTCGTTAAAAATGTTTCCGCTGTTGTTATAGACAGCAATGTACGTGCGAGTTTGATTGCTGCAGACGAGTTCTTTGAAGAAATCCCTGCCGGTGACATTGGTGACAAAGTCACTCTGGGCTTCTGTGAAATCGTAACAATTCTCTGAGTTCCACCATTTTCCACACTTTGTCCACGGAAGTTCCAGAGCGAAGGAACTAAACATATAGTAGAAGGACCAGCACAGGATGATATTGTAATAACAATTCAGGAAGAAGACGACGATTGTGGACGATATACCGATTCCTGAAAAAAAGAAAAAAAGGTTTCATTATGTAAAGATAATCTGAAAATCATCTGCTTGTAAAACACACTATTTCTACTGTTAGTCAACATTCAACTACAGCATCAAATATAAAGAAAAAAAATATGAAAAAAGTTATCCCCATTAATAATACAATATACATATAATATCTTAATAATTATTGTTGTATATCCATATTTGTAAAATAATTGTGATAATTATTAATCTGCCTGTATTATACAAGCTCAAAGAATAAATTAAAATTATTACAATTCACCTTGGAAAAGAGGACAAATGGCCCAAGCTCTGAAACCTGATAATCCCATAAACTGACCAACTGCCACTTCTAAATAAAACAGCGGCACGCCCCCAATGATCACCAACAGGAAATAAGGAATGAGGAAAGCACCTGTAATTAAAGTCGTGAAACAATTTTCTACAAGAATATACTCTGCATTATACAGCTAAGAATCAACAGAGAACTGTGTTGGGCCAATCGCATCTTCAAAAAATTGTTTGGTTGCCCTCCGACATTTGTTTTGTTTTGTTTTTTTACAGTAAAGGACAAGGTATTTTGAAATTTTTCTTGAAAAAAGTTTTCCACCTACCCACCGAGTACCGACCCAGTAATTCTACCCTGAGTCGGGAGAGGGGCAAGAAAATATTACTTTAAAATTGGCCTTGGGTATTTCCTTTCTTTTTTTTCATATTTAAATACTCATGCATATTCTGTTCTTTTTTTCTTGAAAATTCTCTATCTCCAGTGTTTTATGACAACTATCTCCAGTGTTTTATGACAATTCAGTATGTGAATTTATAGTGAGTCAAAGTGTTCATTTAAGACGCAGGTACCCCCACTGTACGTAAAATTCCGCGGATTTTTTTTTAGATTAATTTCCAATTTGAACTTTAGAAACCGTCCCAAATTAAAAAATTAAAAATTTTCTGGTGTTATTTTATAAGCAGATGGAAAAAATTCCATCTTTTATGCAAATGATCGCAACAACAGAAGAAATTACTTATTGTGCGAACGAGATACTCAGCAAGTTGTGCATTTGAGAATTTATGTCCCTCATGCACTCTATACATAAATTCCTTGCGAACGAAACAAGAAGTCGTGCGAACGAAATATGCCATGCAAACAATATAATAAGTTGTGCATAATGCATATACGAGGGATGATCCAAAAGTTCGTGGAATTTCTTCATATTTTATTTATTTTTAAGTGAAATCGGTTGAAAATTACAAATGAGAATATAGACACTTGTTGAATATTTTAAATAAAAAAAGTTTCAAATATTTATGATAGTAACTCTATGTCAGTTGCCATAGAAACGGTTGTTTGGAAATGCGGGGAAGACATTAATGCGTTTATAATCATTTTAATTCTTAATACGTGAAATGAGAATAAAACCACCCTATGTGGTATATAAAACGAAAATTATGTCATTATTACGATTGCTTGTTCTTTTATAAACCTTTGTGTGAGAGTTATACTGATTTTACTGAATATTTAGTGTATTAGTTGATGATTTATTGTTCATCTTTAAGTTGTTAGACAAAGTCAAATTTCGGTCAAGTCATAAGTTTTGTGAAAATCCCGGGATCACTCTATCTGAAATGCGTATATTATTGACATTGGCTGGGGAAAATGCATTAAGTAACTAGTTTTTCAGTAGCCATAGAAATTTAAGAAAAGTATAACTTCCATGGACGTTGATTAAAGGTGTGGCTGCCTTTTGGAGGCTCTGTTTTAAGTGTTTATCTCCCTAGACAAATGAAAAGCGTTAATGAAGGTTGTCGGCTGACGAACTGTTCTTGACATTGCTCCTAATTTTGGAACATCATATGGCAAGATGAGGAGTATTTTGAAATATGAGTGATAAAATGAAGAAAAACTTGGTGCTAGAAGATACCCAGGCTTTTCTTGAGAAAAAAGGTGAAGAGGGCAGCATTTTGTAGAATTACATGTTCGTATCGGACATTAGGGTGAGATGCTTCTAATTACGTGACGTGAAATATATAACTTGACGTTACGTCGAAGTCTCCCCCGGGTTTCACAACTATCCATTTTCAGAAGGCTCGTGTGACCTTATTGGTAATTGGAATGCGGTGAAATTTTCCAATTTTGTTTCATTATGATTCTATATTATAAATATACCTGTTGTTTGCTTTCATCAAATCGCGATAAAATTTTAGAAAGAAATTCCACGAACTTTTGGATCAACCCTCGTATACATGTACATAAATAATTACAGTCGTAAGAACAGTCGATCGAGATGGTATCTAGTGCAGATTTCTCATAAGAGAAATGCCTGTCCTATTTTTTTTTTTAGTCTGATTACCTAATGTATCTTATTAAAAGTACAAACAGCAACAAAAAAAGATCTTTCTGTTCAGCTATGGTGATGTATCTGGGTATATATTGAGGCACCATGATAAGTTCATTCTTTTATTAAATTCACCTATATAATGACCCGCCGGTTCTGTTTGGAACCGATTGTGTTACAGATATAAGAGAAGTTTCGCTTGAGTGCATGGGTAACCAGAGCGGATCCAAGAACAAGGGTCAAATTACGAGGGACGTTCAATAAATAATGTCATCAGGGCTCGGAAAGAAGCAAAAGACGCATTTTAATTATTTAGTCTTCATGATTTTACTTATTAATCTCTTTTGATTAAAATAGATGTCCGTTAAAGTTTTTATTTAATTTCTGATTGTATTTAGAACACATTTTTGGGTATGACCCTTAGTATACTGGAAAATAGCAGATCCAGTGATTTCCTGGACTTGTTTTTTTCTTCTTGAAAGGTGGTTTTTCAAGTTTGGAAATAGAAACAAGTCAAAAGATAAAAGATCTAGCGAACATTGTTAATATGAAAAAATATTAACTTTCTTTTTATCCCGAAAACCCCTTTACTCTTCAGGGGTGCAGGGTTTGGATGTCATGAAGAAATTTAATGTAAATTCCTGATTCTAGGTCCTTCCTCTAATAAACCTTTCGATTTTTTTGCAAAAAGATTGCTTTCTAGACTCCTCCAAAAATCAAACTGTCTCCCCGAATACGGAATTGATCAACATTACCACTAATATTTAAGAAAATTGCATATAAATCTGTCTTTGTGTTCTTGCATACCTTTGCTCTTGTCGGACCATTGCTGTTTTTATCAAGTACATCTTATGGTACATTTTGTATTGAGTGTTTCAAGCAATAAATTCATGTTCCATTATCTGTTTGAATATGAAACAAACTTGGATAACTACAGTTACTGATGTTTTAAAATAATTGTTAAGACATTCCTACACGCTGTCGTTTTCACTCATTTTTCAAAATATAGGGTGATGTTTGAGTACCAAGCTTTTTTACCGTCAAACGTTTCTTAAAAACATTGTAAACTACTCCCGATATGATGTATATCAAATTTGCTATGTGTCTTAAAGTCAGACATACATCATCAGATATTATTTTTTGAAATTGGGCAAATAGTACATAAGTTGTTATAATTTTTGTTGGAAAGGACGGTACCCATTTTTGATGCCCATTATATAATTTTTTATCATTGAAATCTCCCTGCTCATTTGTCTATAAAACAGGCATTGGTTGCTGTAAATGTCACATATTTCAGTGAAAATTTCTTTGGGATTTTTAACACGTTTTACAGCAGCTTTAATGAAGCTTTTATTTTCACTCTATTTTACTGATTCTTTACCATTCATTTATAATGCAGTGTCTCGAATAGCCCTTGATTCCCAGCTTCTCACGATTAAACTATGTGATGAAAAGTGGTCACATAAACTGTTATCAATTCATTAAAGATTCAATAATGAGAGAAAGTCTTAGCTTAATGTCATATGATTTCTATGTTGTATGTCATCGAGCTAATGACATTATTTATTGAACGTCCCTCGTACATTATTATGAATACATTCCAAGGCTAAATTCAAGGTGTTAATTGAATTCATTCTGTAGTCTTTGCATTTTCCCCTAGAAATATCTAATTTATAATTGCATTCTTTTGGTAGCTGCAGAACTGTAGCTCTCCATTTTTTTTCTTGGACAGTCCATCCCATTTTTCTCAGACCAGTAAGCTACAGTTCTGCAGTTCTTTTTGTAGATCATATCGGTTCAGTTATGTTTATTATTTCTGAGCTTTAATAAATTAATGGCAGTAAAAGTTGTAAACTTGTGTGGAAAATTGGAAAATATTAAATTTGATATTTTTAAAATAACCGATTCAAATTCAATGATACGAATTAATTTAATGTTTTTAAACCGGAATTTAAGCAGCTTTTTGGGCTTGAGGGGATCGGGAAAAAATATTAAGAGAAAAAAATCTAATCCTATTCAATTCAGTTAAGATATTTTGCAATAGGTTGAAGGTAAAATGAAGAACCACCAGTTCATTTAGCGGAATTTGTGCATACCTGTATCACGTGAAAGTTAAGTGTCTTTTGTTGAACAAGTGTACAATTTCATGTCGTAAAATTTAAACCAAAAAAAATATTTAAATAAATTTGCCCAACAGCAAGACTCCCCTTCTGTAGAAATTCGGTTTAAAAAAATTATACAGCGAAACTGTAGAAAAATATTTTTATCTCCTAAATTTTCTATCATGAACATCTGCATTTGCCTGTTTTTTTTTTTTTAAATAGACGAATTAACACATTACTGTTTGAATATGTTGATATTTGTTGTTTGATTTTACAGTTGAAGGTTCGTTGTTCTGCAAACAAAAATATGTTAACCTTTGCCCAATTCGTCTAGAATTTATACATATAAGTAAGATTATGTCTATAAACTAATATACATAATTTATACATGTGCCAGATCACAACGATCTCTTCTCTAGAACCAAAGTGTGTCACTTCCCTGAATCAGACAACAATTACCAAACTATTTAACCCTGAACATTATGTGTTGTGCTGTGATCCTCCACTTTTTAAGTAATTGAAGTAAGACAATTTTATAACTGTCAAAAATAAGTGGTCGATTTTCAATAAAGTATGATATAGGCATGCATTTATTACAAAATTCACAATTTCTTTCGTCGATACAATGAATATGTCAGCAAATACAATTTATCATTAAGTTGAGTGATGAATGACTTCGCAATATAAATTGGAAGGCCGTTATATTTGCACGGAATTGTCTACGTATTTTCCTTCTCCCCAATCATGATAAAGAGTATATGGCGGATGTGACCGATTTACAGGGGATGTTTACTCCTCCATATCACCTGATCTCACCACTGATGTTTTCCCTAAAACTGATTTTGTTAATTTTCAATTATTTTTTATTGTTACTCTTAACTGTTACTAAGAATTTTTTTATTTTAAAAATAAGAGGTACTGCTTGTAAGAGGTATTTTTTTCGTATTTTATCTTTGATAATGAGCCAAAGAAAACCT